TCAACATAAACATCATTAGATGAGCGCTCAGATCCACTGACCCACAGGGTGGCTGGTGTGATTCCAGCTCCTGCAGATGAATGCTGTCGTTATGTCCTTGGGCAAGACACTTAACCTACCTCAGCCCCCAGTGTCTGTGTACACTGGTGAGTGGTTCCTTGTTGTAAAGTGCCTTGAAGGTGGAAAAGTGATTTATAAAAATGTGACCATTTACCACAGAAGTCCCTCTCACATAACATTACAGTCACAAGGCAGGAAGTGTTAGTCAACAGTTTTTCAGTTAGTCACTCTCACCATCCATCCGTCCATTTTCTTCCTCTTATCCGGGGCTGGATCGCGGGGACAGCAGTCTAAGCAGAGACTTCCAGACTTCCTTCACCCCAGACACTTCCTCCAGCTCCTCCGGGGGGACCCTGGGGTGTTCCCAGGCCAGCTGAAAGACATAGTCCCTCCAGTGGGTCCTGGGCCTTCCCCGGAACACCGAGCCACCTCAGCCCGGCTCCTCTCGACGTGGACAAGCAGCAGCTCTACTCCGAGCTCGTCCCGTGTGACTGAGCTCCTCACCCCATCTCTAAGGGAGTGCTCAGCCACCCTGAGGAGGAAACTCATGTTGACTGCTTGTATCAGCGATCTTGTCTTTTTGGTTATTGCCCAGAGCTCATGACCATAGGTGAGGGGAGGAACATAGATTGAGAGGTAAATCGAGAGCTTTGCCTTTCAACTCAGCTCCCTCTTCACCACAACGGTCCAATACAGCGACCGCATCACTGCCGACGCTGCACCGATCCGTCTGTCAATCTCACCTTTTTGTTGAAAATCAAACACCTGAACAGGACCTTGAACACTCGCATCGATCACAGGCTCCAGAAAATGTGTTGTTTAAACCCATTTTACTTTCTTCTCCACCATACAAATACATGTGTAACGCCCCCAGCATGATGTCACTGCAAAGTATCGATAAATCCAAGGCATTAGTATTATCATTAAAATCTGCCAGTGAGGTAAGTGCAATTTCAAACCCCATTAGAAGGTATTTAGCCTGAAAAAATAAGCAGTTGATGGGAACAAGTTGGAAACATCTTGAAGCATGTAGAATAATGGAGGTCCATCAAGGTAATCAATCTAAACTAGTCTAAACTACTTTAAGATTAATATTGTGAAGTCATTTAACTATTATAGATGTGCGTAATAGTAAGTACAGTTGGCCGAGAATCCAAAATGTTTTAAAACGGGGGATTTCCGAGCAGTTTGTTTTCATAAATCACTCGAGTCTCGGTATGACTGATACGATGATGTGGGCTAATGTATTCAATGACAGCGATACCCACAGCTCTCAAATGAGTTGTAAATACAGATACTAATTTGCACCAGATGACTGTGGGAGTGTGTTTTATTAACAGTGAAATATGGGAGGATTGGTTCCACATGGCGTATTTCAGGTAGTTTCTTCACACTGGCTTTGGTTAAACAGTAAACAATGTACCACAAAATGTCAGTATCTTTGCTTTTGTTGGCTTTGTTTATCTTAAAGGTGTAGCATGTAACTTTTCTCATGGAGGGTATGCCACCTGGAAAAAAAGTTGCTGTACCTGATTTTCATAGAGCAGATGTCCCTATTTATCCCGGACAGTCCCAGTTTTGAGCCCTGTGTCCCCTGTCCCAGCAAGATTTATTCAAAACCAGTGACTTTGTCCCAGTTTTATACAAGAAATGTCCCTGGTGTCCCTATTTTTGACCATCTGACAATCCGATCCCTGCCAACAGTAAAAAGAGGCATAAATTGTCATTTGTTTTGGTAAAATACAGAAAATCTGCTTGAAAATGCCCAAAACACAAAGAAAATGTAGCTATACAGGTAATAAACCGGGACTAAACCAGGTACTAGACCGGAACTAAATCAGGACTAAACCAAGACTATATACATTAGTGTAGAGTGCATAACAGTTTTTATTTATTTCTTTTTTTATTATTACCAACCACCACAAACCAGGGATGTCCCAGTGTTTTATTTTGAAAATCTGTTCACCCTAAGTTAATTTTAAACGATTTGCAGTGGTCCAAAGTTATTCCTCACTTGCTTTATGCATTATGCAATCATAATCATAATAATAATAATGCATCAGTTTTATATAGCGCTTGGATACTGGATACTGAAAGACACTTTACTGAGCATAATTCATTCACTCCACACTCGGTGGATGGAAACAAGGCTGCCAATCTGCGCCATCTGCCCCTCCAACCACCACCACGCACACACCACTTTCATATTAGGCAATGTGAGTGAAGTGCCTTGCCTAAGGACACAACGACAGGTTTTGTGACTGGCGCCCCCCTGTTGAACTTTAACTTAACTTTAACTTTAACAAGAAGGTAATATTCACTGCGATAAGTTTATGAGCACCTTTCACAACTCTCAGACACCAGTGTTGGAGTTTTAAGCAGTAACTAGTATGCTAATGTGCACTTCCTGATAATGGAAGAATAAAATGCTTTGTAATTAGATGCAAACAGTAACAGTATACACCAGACCAATTTTGACCTCGAGCTCTTCTTATACAATATATCTGTACTGGGAAATACAAATACTCAAATACATCTCCATGGGGATGAATTACAGGTCAGATCTCTGGAGAAGGAACCATGTCGCAGCAAGAACACATGTTAGTCAAGGTGTTTTTGAGCAATAAAAAAGCTCCTTTAATTGAACTGAATTGCAAAATAGCCATACTGCCATGATGCCAGGGGCGGACTGACAATCTGTGCATTCTGGAAAAGTCCTGAAGGGCCGTCTGGTCTACTGGTCGTCAGTCGTACTAACAGCAGAGGGCGCTATTACTGTTTAACCATTTTTCAAGAATAAATTGTCTAAAAGCTCCGAAAGAAGAGTGGGTCACTCGTTTGTTTCAACACATGTCAAACGATGTCGAACAGAAAACGTAAAGAGAAAGGTGGATGGGAAAAGTCACTTCGAAATGATGTGATCTTGGTGTTTTTTGGTAATAAACAATCAGTATAGTTAATCTTTGTGTGTTTTCTTCAATTATTTCATTATTGATTTAGTGAAATTATTCATCATCAGTTATGTAAATTATCACCCCCCCCTTCCCATGTGGTAGCTTTATTTGCGGGGGAAAAGTCCAGGGCTGTTTTTTGGTCCTAGTCCTTTCCTGCATAATGCCATACTGTGAAACATTCCAGGTAAATCAATAAAATCTCCATGGCAACAAGCAGGCGACGTACCCTCCACCAGAACAAATATTTGAGCTCAAAACAGCAGCTGGATTAAAGTATCATGTTATGTAATTTTGTGTTGTTCAACTATTTGCTCTAAGTTCCTCTAATTATTTTCTTTTAATCGTGTAATTATTTGTTATGAAACTATAATGACAAGTCTCAGTGTTTAATTAGAGAACGGCATTGGTATTTCCATGGGGACAGTTTTATTATCTTGTTTAGTCGCCTGGCAACAGATGAAGTGCAATTAAAACTTGTAGACTCAAGGATGTCTCTAACCATTCGTTCCCTCAATGTCTCTAAAAAAAAAAAAGTTAAAATGAGAGTCTCGAGTGGCGCTCGTGGTGGGTTTCACATCCCTCCTGATGGTACAGAAAATCCTCTGCAGATCTGGCTCTATTTTTACAGTCTTAAAAACGTGAAAAACAGAACTAGGTCATTTTAAATGGTTTGCAGGGGGTGAATTTAGAGACATTTTCATATTAAATTGGAAATGATTTACAGACAAAATACTGAACAGTGAGAAAAAGCAACGTTTTTGTTCCAGTTTTCTCAGTACAAACTGAATTGAAGCTGGAGTCGATATATACAGTATAAACATTACTGGTCAAAAGTTTTAGAACACCACACTTTTTCCAGTTGTTTACTGTTAACCAAAACATATTTTAAACTTCTGATTCATGAAAATGTCCACCTTTGACAGATATAACAACTGAACACAACAGAAATCAAATATTCTCCGTTCATTTGTTTTTTAAAATAAAACCAAAAATAAGAAAACGTAAAAACAACTATTTTCTTCATTATTTGTCTCCAAAACCAAAATGAAAAAAAAAAAAAAAAAAAAAAAACGGATAACGATTGTTTTACCAGGACTAAAACAGGTGTAAAACAGGTTTAAACCAGGTCTAAACCAGAACTAAACCAGGATGGTGCGCCTGCGTAGACTGCCACATGATCAGGACTGAGACCAGGACCAGACCGCAACTGAGACCAGGACTGAGACTGGGACCAGACTGTGATTGAGACCCAGACCAGACCAGGACTGAGACCGGTTTAGTCCTGGTTCAGTTCGTACGCGGCGCAAAAGTCCGTCATCGCAGTTTAAGTCACAGAAACGGGAAACGTCTGTTATCCATTTTTTCCATTATTTCCATCATAAAAACGAATTGAACCAAATAAACTTTTGTCCAGTCGACAAACTGAATTTCTCCTTTATGTAACAGATAACTCTATATCACATCATATCATTATTACACCGTCTTCGTATGACCTCTTGTGTATAGCTAAGATTTTATATTTTGTTACTTATCTTTACATTTATATAACTGCGCCTTATTTGACACCAGTCTCTTGCTAGCCTTTTTGCTACTTATTTAGAATTTATTATTATTATTTACATTTTTTACTCTTTGTCATTATAATATCTTGTGATGTGTGAGCTACTGTGTCTAAATAATTTCCCTTGTGGATCAATAAAGTTTGTCTAAGTCTAAAAACGCTTCATAATCACATGCAGACAATACAGACCGCAGATATATTTTAACCTCAAGAGCTGCTTATACAAAATATCTGGGTACTGGGACAAGACATATTTTGCTCAAATAAAGCGAGTAAAAAAAATAAAAAAATAAAATCGGGTATTAGATCTGGTGGTACTTGGAAAGCCAAAAATATTTCCTCACGTGTTACTTGATTGAGAGCCACTCATTGAAATTTAGTTGAGGAAAAACTAAAAATCTTACAATAGCCATAAAAACACAGAATTTCATGGTTTTGAATATATTTATTTATTGCAGAAAGCTGTTCCAGTTTGTACAGAGGGTCTGAAATGTGGAATGCAGCAAAAAACCAAAACAAATCTCGTCAACAGATTCAGTCATTTCCAGAAAAGCCTATTTAAGCATTTGGAGTGAGTCATGTGCACTGTACCGGAGGGGAGCTGTGTGAACAGAGAAGGGCGATATGTTTTTGTCTTATGAAAGTCCTCAAAATGGCGTCCATAACAGGAAAATGTCCAACTCCCCCCAAAAAAGTGTTGGTTAAAAAGTAATGACTTTCCAAAAAACTGCATATTTCTCTAGTTGATTTTACACTCAGTCAGTACTTTTTTTTTTTTTTTTTAAAGGTGCACTTTGTAACTTTTCTGGTGGAGGTACGTCTCCATGGAGATGCTTTGTCTTTGTTCCGCAGTGTGGCATTAGACATGTATCTGTCTCGCATTTGTTCCATTACAGGTGTTTTATTGCTCCACAGTAAATTGCATTCTTTTGGTGAGTGAAACTACCCACAGATCTGACCTGTAACTGAGCCTGGTGACTCGTCTCCATGGAGACAGGTGCCAAGTTTAATGCCATACTGTGAAACATTTGCGGCAAAACAATAACACTTTCACAGAGCCACTGTAAGTAGCGACTAGCCTGATTCATCCGCCGGTTTCACTTCGTAGAAACCGTTTGATCTCACAGCATTTGGATTTGTTCGCTTGATGGTATTCAGGTACTTTTTCATTTAACCAAGAAGAAGGACAATAACGTCTTTCCCCTTGATAAAATTCACCAAACATTCTCTTTGTTCCGGCTTTAAATCCTCCATCTTGGGAATCGTTGCCAACACAGAATGTCTGGCTCTTCGCTGATTGGCTGGTGCCCGAACAATCCGTGTATCATTCGTTCATTCACTTAAGAAAATGAAAAAAATGACTATTTTCTTCATTATTTGTCTTCAAAATAAAAAAAAAAAAAAAAAAAGATTTTGTGTTTAAATGAAAAATAGAAAAATGAATAATGTCCGTTTCCCATTTCCGTGACTTAAACTCCGTCACCGGACTTTTGCACCGCATACGGACTGAACCAGGACTAAACCAGGATTAAACCAGGACTAAACCAGAACTGAACCAGGAGTGAACCAGGAGTGTCTGTCGGGTGATCAGGAAACTGGGACCAAACTGGGACCAGACTGGGACTGAGAAACGGACAGACTGGTTTAAACCTGGTTTAGTCCTGGTTCAATTCTGGCTTAGACCTGGTTTAGACCTGTTTTAGTTCTGTTTTAGTCCTGGTTCAGTCTGGAATCGTTTAAGTCACGGAAATGGGAAACAGCCATTATTATTGTTTTTTCCATTATTCATTTAAACACAGAATCGAAGAGTGAAAAAACGAATTGTTATTGTTTTTTTTTCTTTTGGTTTTGAACACAAATAATGAAGAAAATATTTGTTTTTTCGTTTTCTTATCTTTGGTTTGATTTTGAAAAACTAATGAACAAATGATACAGATTCCGAACTCGCACTTGACGGTTTTTGCGAACCGTCTAGTGTATTCCAATTTCTGACCTAATCGCTGTAGAGAAATGAAACTGAGCGGAGGCACTAGTTGGCGACGTACTCTCTACCAGAAAAATTACCTTTAAACAAACTATTTACACAACAACCAAGATATTACCCTTCACTCTGTCACCCTTTTCAGCATTTTTACTTCTAATGAACTGCTAAAAATGTATATTATCTCACCAGAAAATGAAATATTGTGATAGATTTTTGTCAATATCACCCAGTCCTAGTAATCGATGAGATCTACGACTCTGAGTAAGCTTTAGTTTGAGCCAGAATTACACTATAAATGAGCACACGGCAGCGGAGGAACATCACACACAAAGAGATACTGGCTGGAAGTGGAAAATAAAAATATCTGATCATCTGACATGTCAAAATATAGCCTCAAAATAAAAATAATTATCACATCTATTATATTACATTAGCAGTCTCTTATGTGTGATCACAGAGGAGGATTTTGACCTAGACTCTTAAGTACAGCCGTCTGGAATCCGATTTGAAAGTGTGCTGTGTACCTGTACTGTAATCCAGCATTGGAATACATTGATTGTAGTAGTTAAAACACTACACATTTGATTATGAAAAATATTGTCCAGAAAAATAGGACTAACCCATCTCTAAAAGGTTCTTGTAGACATTCTGAGAAGTCAAATATTCAACAGAAAACGGTCAACCTATCGTGGTAATACTATTCGTAACCATTGTAATTCTGTCATGTTTTCTTAAAATACTCAAATCCTACAATAAAGAATAACACTGCAAAAAAAGGCAAGTTGAATTAGCTGAATTTGAGGAGTTATGATTAGGTTATGTTGATTTACTCGATAGAACTGTGATTTGACAATTTTCCACTCACCCCGTGCTGATTTTTTTTCTCTTATTCAAGCCTAAATAATCTTAAAATTAAACCACACACAAATATCAATTACTTATTTAAATTTGTTGACTTTAAATATGTTCAAAAATTGTCAAAACCAGTCAAACAAGTTTAATAATATAAACTGTATAATCGATTTAACTTGAACCTTTTCAAAATGACTCAAATCAAAATAAAAAAAATCAGATTTAAGTACCGTATTTTTCGGACTATAAGTCGCACTTTTTTCATGATTTGGGTGTTTCCTGCGACTTATACTCCAGTGCGACTTATATATTAAAATTTTCACACTGACAGCTGCGAGAGGCTCTAGGCTTATGTGTCAGTATCTGCTGCTCTTATTTCTGTACCACTGTCACTTCACTCTTTACAGAAAAAGCCGCTGTCCAGCTACAAGTAGTGAAATATTCAACTGAAAACGGTTATCGAGCAGCAGAAAGAAAGTTTGGAGAGCGCAAGAAACTTGTGAGGGACTGGAGGAAAGCGGGGATGAAGAACACAGCTTTACGGCAACTTTTCTGGAAGTCATCGGGTTTATCGACAAAGCCTGGACTTCAGTGACACCGAAACCATCCTGTCGGGATTCAGAAAGACCGGAATAATTCTAACTGGAACTGATGCTGAGTCTGACGACAGCGACACAGAAGAGGAAGTGGTGCTCCGTTTACCTCCGGAGGTCGTGGAGTTGCTCAGAAGTGACACCGAGGATGAAGAATTCGATGGATTTAGTGATTTGGAGTGAGATGAAGAGTTTGTTAAACTTGTTCTGTTTTTTATGTTATAGTTTATCTGAAGAACTGTTCATATGTGACGTCAACAGTCTGTTGTTCTCTGTTCTATTGTTATTACTAGAACTTGCCTTTCGAGATGAAATGTCAGTTTCTGGTCTCTGGTTCTATAAAATAAATTTCCCCCCAAAAGTGCAACTTATGTTTTTTTCTTCTTCATTACGCATTTTTTGGCTGGTGCGACTTATTGTCCGAAAAATACAGTAGTTTTTCGCAGTACACAAAAACCTTTCGTTTAATCTGTAAAAACCACACGATCGCCTGTTTTTGCTCCGTGATTATGTCCTTTTATGAACTTTTGGCTTCTCAGTTCAGTCCATCTCATTAAGAGGATTTTCAAAGCCAGTTTGATATAATATGATTGATTACTTTGTCTGAGGGAAAGACATGCAAAACGATGACTTCTATATGGCTCTTATTATTAAAACAGGGCAGAGGCACAGCATGGACCCTCTGTAAATGAAATAGGGCTCTAGAAAGGATAAGGCAAATACAAGAGGAGTGCTATAATGTCAAAGGAGGAATGTAGCTCTCTAAGGTAATGATGACAAGTGCGCGGGGCTTGAAGTTGGCCAATAGGTTCTGTTCATGTGATATCATAATATATTACCGAGGACAATATTGGATGGAAAACAGCAAAGAATTCGATGATACAATTTGCCAAAGATTCAAAATGCAGATGTTTTGGCCTGGTTTGTGGTTAATATGTCTGTGAGGTCTGGACCTATACACAGGAAAGAAACGTTATTTTGTACAGTATCATACAGATCTATGTTTATTTTAGTTTAATATAGCCAGACGATATAAGATTACCTAAAGCAAATGAATGGGTCCCAAGATTTGTTCCAATTTGTTGTTTTTTTTCCAGTGTCCTTTTTGAAAATTGTGTCTTACCTTTATATTGTTTGTATCGACCCGGCATCAATTACTTAATGTGAATCGAGCCTGTGAGCTGCATTGACAATAAGTCCATAAACTTTTGGCCTCAAGTCTCTCAAACAAACAAACATGAAGACTGTGACAGAATAACACCACTGCTTTTGTTATTATCATGCAATAATAATTGTATTTTAGTTAAAGGTGAGCTTTCTAACCTTTCTTTTCTGGCGTCTCCATGTTGATGTTACTAATTCTAGACCAAAAATTTTCCACAGTATGGCATTAAATTCAGAGTTCCCAAAATTTCAAAACTTTTCCATGACTATTTCATGACCTAAAGTGAATTTTCCATGACTTTATGGCACCTACATGTGTAGACTTGTGCATACTTTTAGGGCTAAATATGAAATGTTAACCCTTTCGACTCACTTTATGGTTTGGGATTATATTTTTTTAACATTCAGTGCATTTATTGTCGTCTCTTTAAAAAAAAAAAAAAAAAAGGCGCATACGTTCAGAAATATTCATCAATCAATAGCCTAATGATAACTTAACAGAACGCTGTAGTTGCGTGAAAGAGATACTAAAATACCATGACTTTTCCAAAACTTTCATGGAAATTACAACATTCCATGACTTTTCCAGGCCTGGAGAATGACATGTTTCAATTTCCATGACTTTTCCGGGATTTCCATGACTGTGGGAACCCTGTAAATTATTTTTTCTTGCAAAAATTCCTTAAAAAACATGCCCCACAGATCAGACCTGTAACTGTACCTGGCGGCGTGACCTGCTCGTCTCCAAGGAGATTTTTTGCTTTAAGTTTAATGCTATACTGTGGAACATCCAAGCAAATAATATTCCACGGAGTACACCATTATTTGTCCATAAAGAGACAAAGTTTTTTTTATTGTGTGAGCCCAAATAATTACAGAAATTTAAATGAATCAAATGAAATTGAAATGAAACCAGGACCAAACCATCTGCATTTTTTAACAGATTCTACATTATATTTCTTGTCTTGTTGTCCTCCATTTTACTTTAAACTATGGGCTTTATAATCTTATGAGATCACATGACTACAGCCCACTGAGCTGATTGGTTCCTGTCCCTCCTCCTCCTCACTCACACTCGTTTTCCCTCAGCACGTTGTACATGTTGACGGTGACCCCGGCCGGCTGTTCTGTTTGTTTCTTTGGCGCTCGCCTGAAGCCTTCGTCGTCATCGTCGTCTGCGTCTTCGTCCACATCTGCGTCGCGGTCCCTCTCCTCTTCCTCGCCTTCGCTGCTCGACTCCCCCTCCTCATCGGAAACCTCCTCCACGTTGGACCTGCCCTGTAACGCCATGATCTCCGGCAAATCGGGGTGATTCTCCCAACGCTCTGCGATAAAAAATACATGAAAGGTCAAGAATAAAAGTGTTGTAACAGATATTATGAGAAATTTTTGTTGTGGAACAGGTTTATGACAAAGAAAACGGAGAGAGTCCAATTTCTTTCAGTGGCAAAAGGGCTGGAGTAAGACTGAGAATCATGATCTGAATCTAAACATAACCCGACTTCTGTGAGCTTCACTTTTCATACTTCTTCTCCTTCTCATTTTGACCAATATTTGTTCGTAACTGAGTGACAGGTGGCGTAAAAATCTCAGAAGCAGCAGATATCTTTTAGGGAAATACAGTTATTGTGATTGTATTATTGTTAAGTGATCTAAGCCAGTGTTTCCCAAACTTTTTTTCTGGAGATTGATATTTTAAAAGTGACAAACCTTCGTGACCCAAGTCAATAAACATTAAATCACAAAATAAAGGTGGATTTGAGCATTATTGAACATTAATGAGGATATTTTATTGTTGTCTGAGTGATCGTGTCTCTCTGAACAATTAGTATTATTCAAGTTTTAAACAATGAAAAACAATAATTGAAGCAGCAATAAAAGGATCCATGAGTCGCCGATTTGGACATTAAATGTAGCCTCATTTCTTTTTCTTTTCAACATTCAACTGAACCAGAAATACTGGAACAAAAGTCAATAAAATAATTACAAAAAGATCAGAAATTACACACACGTCTAATGAGATAGGTGAGCCTTTTTATGCTTGCGTTTTTGTAGCGTGTTCCAGTCCAGGGTGCAGGAGGAGCTCAACACTCATATCAGGCGCAACATTCAGTCTGTTTCTGTGCTTTGTATTCATTTTTGTGAGCACAGAAAATCCTTATTCACACATATATGTAGAAGTGAAAGGAATAAGCAGAGAAATACTGGCCCTAGTGAGGACAGGATATTCTGACAAAATACTTATCCAGATAAGGTCACAGATCCATGTGTACAACTGTATACTGCAGACCTACATGTAGATCGTGACAAAGCGACCCCCCAAAAATTTCTTCCGACCCACCTGAAGGTCCCATCACAGTCTTTGGAAAACAATGATCTAGGCTCTTAAAATGTGTGATATGAACTTTTTGTTGGCATATCGCCCCTTAAACTGAAGTGAATGAAGCAATAAAAAGGTTTATTTTTTTCATATTTCATGTACAACAGAAAAAGTAATGAACATTCTTGTCGAAATATCTCTAATAAAAAAAAAAATTGTGAGTAATAGTTCATAGTTTCTTCTCACAATTACACAATTTGACTTTGTGACATTTCTCAAGTTACTTTTATTTTCAGTCCTCTCTATTATTTTTTTTTTCTTCTTACACCTCATTAAATAGAGTAAATAAACTCTTGGTCACCTCTGAGGCAGCTGTATCCTGGAGGCCTGAGGCAGAGACAGAGCCTTCCATCGATGGCGAGTCTCAGGAGACTGTTGGCTGCTCGGTACACGTCGTTACGCGCCGCCTTTGCCGTCTTATACCCTCTTCTCTCGGCCCAGGCTAAAACATACAGCAAAGACAAGACATGTGTTTTCAGATGCGTTCACACTTACACATGGACCACATTAACTTTTGACTAAACTGGGACTAAATTCACAGCTAATCCAGGCCAAAATGGGGACTGTCAGAGCACTCAAATAGTTTATCGCCGTGTGATCAAATAAGTTATGATCAGTGAGGGGGATACGTCTTGCCCGTGTGCGTAAATGACGAGAAGAAACTGTCTCAAACTTCAGTAGCCGGACATCCACTCAGACCTGATCGATACAACTAGCCCTGTCCCCAGAGAGTCTGAAATCTGCTGAAACTCCTACGAGACACTGACACAGATACAGACAGGACAGCGGCTTTTGCAGGAGACGTGCGCAGTAGAAGACATCAAAGACAAGACATGTGTTTTAAGATGCGTTCACACTTACACTTGGACCACATTCAATTTTGACTAAAGTGGGACTAAATTCAGAACTAATCCAGGCCAAAATGGGGACCAGAACAGGACCAAATTAAGTCTACATTTGGACTCAAACACACTCAAAGCTTTATTTTTTAGTTAACTCAGAATAGTCTCAAATTGAAAATGGCTTCTGGATGAGAGCCGAAGTCCAGATGATCAATGCTGAAACCTTCTCTGCACTGAACATTTCCTGGAAGAATGAACAATTACACCGTCTCCCATGCTTTTTTTTTTTTTTGTGAAACCATTAATAATACCATTGTTTAATCACGCAGTCATCCAGGAGTGCGCCATTAATAACAATAACCTAATGAGCTACAAAACGTGTGAGTGAACCGACCCTCACAGACGTCCCAGGATGTCCACGCTGGATGCTGTGACTCCTGGCTCTGCTGCTGTGGGTTCTCCAGGAGCGAGGGGTGCTTCAGCTTCAGCACAGACAGAAAAGGAGTTCTTTCACAGAGATATCCCACTGAACTGTAGGGCTCCTGCAGCTGAGACACCGGGTAGATGCCGGCAAGAATCTACAATGACAGAAACACAAAGCAAAGTTAAGAAAACAGAAAACTTTCACGGCAGCTTTGATCAACACTGATTCTCATTAGAAGTTACACAAATGGGATTGCTTTGAATCAATAATCCATTTTCTCTGTGTGTGGTTGTTTTGTTCAGAACAAATTGGATTCTTTCGTATGTTTTAAGGCTGTCCAAAAAGTTCTCATCATGGTTTCTTAAGAGTCTTGCACTTCAATTTTAGATTTACACTAGAGCTGAACAGTTTTTGGAAAACTATGATCAGTTCAAAGTGAACTTTCTGACTAAGTTAAAGGAGCATTATGCAACTTTTCTGGTGCAGGGTCCGCCACCTAATTGTCTCCATGGAGAATCTGCAGCTTTATCTGAAAAATCCCATATTATGGCATTAAACTCAGACAATTTATGTTATTAGGTTATTTTTTCAGACCAAGAGTTTGTTTTCATACCTGACAGTCTTGACTGCTTTTTTCGACGGCCCTCAGAGTGGTCACGTGATGTTGCTGTGACGTGTCTGGTCATCTGATTTATACAGGTTTTGGTGCCATCTTCCTACCGACGCAGGCAGGATGACAGCGCCATCTGCAGTCTGAGCGGGCTTTTTTACTCTCACACACCTGGGATACTGTCGTGAGATAGTCCGACTGCAGATGGAGCTGTCGTCCTGCCTCCATCGGTAGGAAGACTGCGCCAAAACCTGTTTAAATCAGCTGACCGGACAAGTCACAGCAACACCACGTGACCACTCTGAGGGCCGTCGAAAAAAGCAGTCAAGACTGTCAGGTATGAAAACAAACTCTTGGTCTGAAAAAAGAACCTAATAACAAATTATCGGAACACCAGATGAACGTCTTTGGACTACTGAGACAAAAGTCGGATCATGTTTTTGAAGCAACACAAACATACGTAACTGAATAAACCCAATATATAGAGATTTTTTTCCATAGAAAGTTTAATATCATTCTGTGGCAAAGCATTAACCAGTTGTTACATGCAGGCATTTGTTTTGTTTGTGTACTGCTCTCTCCTCTGTCCTGTGTGTTCAGGTTCTGTGGGTGTGACCAAAACTGGAGCTGATTGGCCAGCTGGCTGCCAATCAGGGTGGAGAGGGCCATTTAAAAGGAGCTGTGTGCTGCCTCTTTCTCTCTCTCTCTCTCAGTGTATGTGGCTGCTAGCCCAGGTTTGTTTGGTTGGGAGGATTGGTTAGGCAAGTTTGGGGATCCCTGTACATTTCACACCACGTAGATTTTTGTTGTTAGACACACTAGTTATCAGTTGTTGCCACCTTTGTTGTTTTGAGTTTTCCAAATTCTCTTTGTTAGACCAGGTAGGGTTAGGCTTTTGATTTCTTTCCTTTTTGTAGCCTAGTTTTCAGTTAGGGCCTGTTTTGTTATACCTTTTTGTTTGTTGATTTGGCACAACTGGCCCACGCCTCCTCCCACCAACATTTTGTTCATTTTTTGTGCTCTTTGGTGAATGTTTGTCTGTAAAATAAAAAGTTTGCCAAACCGACTTTGCCTCAAGGGTTGTTTATACATGTTGTGTCCCTTGTTGGCTATAGGGGACATAACACAGTCCATAAAAGTTACTCGGTGCACCTTTACAGTATCATTTGAGAGAAGACTGAATGTTTTGTATACACTAAATACTAGTTTAGTACCATATACTAAACTAAAACAAAAATCCTGCATTTCTAAACATGTTTGTAGAGCTATAAAATACTGGGATATCAGGTTTTATACAAGATGGAGCCCCCACGGATATTATTTGCAACCTTTATGAATTGCATAGTGCAATTTTGATTCATCTTTTACAGAGACTGACCAATAGGAGAACTGGAGGGAGGGAAATAACACAGATTTGCAGATTTCCACAGGGTCACCACTATACAGTATAAAAGTTTTATTGCACAGCAGCAGGGTAGGATAAGTGAAATACAAAAGCAGATATCCCTTCATAATATCGAGTGTGTACCTGCAGCTGTTTGTTGACGAGTGAGGGGAAGACGAGGCCGGGGCAGTCGCACAGTTTGACTGTGGGAGTGAGGTAGTACGTCTGAAAGTATTTGGTGTGGCCTGGAGTCCGGGACACGCTCACCACTTTTCTACCAACCAAACTATTGATCACGGAGGATTTACCAACGTTTGGAAAACCTGAAGCAAAATGATAAGAGAGAAAATACATATGATAAAATGTAATATTGTCAAAATTGTATTGTTATATTTAGGAGTCAAACTGAATGAAAAACTATTTGTATGTTTATGTCAATATAGACAAAATGTACTATTCATTTTCATTTTTCTTTGGCATTAATTAATATATTTTTTTTTAGTATAGATACAAACATTTGGAAAACCTAAAGCAAAATGATAAGAGAGAAAATACATATGATAAATGGAATATTGTCAAAATTGTATCGTTATATTTAGGAGTCAAACTGTAAATGAATATTAAAATGTGTTTATATTGATATTAACATACACATTGTTTTTCATTCATTTTCATTTTTCTTTGGCATTAATTAATAATTTCTTTTCAGTATTGATACTTGTACAATTAGTTTGTTCGATACTAGTTTTAATATCAATTTCTATCTGGGATTTTTGACAACTCTAATAGAAACAATAATTACATTTGCCTGTTGGCTTCACAGCAAAAACAGTTACTCAGTAGTTTTTAATTACCGTAATTTCCGAACTATAAGCCACTACTTTTTTCTCACACTTTAAACCCTGAGGCCTATAAAACGATGCGGTGAATATATGGACGGATTATTTGTTCGGCACATTGTCCATTTAAATATACGGTCTATGGTTTGGCAACACAGTAGATACTCATGCAGCCTGAGTGCAGAAAACGCCGCTGTCTGTGCGGTTCACACATGGATCTAGGGTTAACATGAAGTTGAAGTTGAGAAGAAACGTCTCAAGCTTCAGTAGCCAGACATCCACTCATACCTGATAGATAGAACTAACCCCGTCCCAGAGAGAGTCTGAAATCTGCTGAAATCCTACCAGACACTGACATAATACAGACAGGACAGCGGCTCTTTCTGCAGAAGACATGTGCAGTAGAGTGCGGGGAGAGACAGGGAAGATACGCAGATGAAAATTCTAGTTTGACTGTGTTTTGAACAGTTATTTTACGCTTCATACACACACCGTCCTCATGGAAAACACACGAAGAAATGCAGATGAGGCAGCTTTTAAGGTTAAAGGCAAAGGCTGTAGAAGAAGGAAATAGAGCTGCTGCATATGAGCTCGGCATCAATGACTCGACGGTGAGATTTGGGCGACGGCAGCGTGAAGAACTGACTCAAAGCAAAAAGACGACAAAAGCTTTCAGAGGCGATAAAAGCAGACGGCCTGAAATTGAAAACGTTCTTGAAGACGTGGACACCTGCGGCTTATATTCAGGTGCGCTCAATAGTCCGGAAATTACGATATTTAAATAGCTACTTTTAACATCAACTTAATATTTTACCTATGCAGCCCAAAGTGAGGACTCCATCTTTGTACAGCTCTTGAGACAAGCTGCTCATCTCCATGGCGCTGTCGGTGTGGTGCTCCATCAGCACCGACTCCCCGGGCCCCTCCCCTTCCCGGTCTCCATCCACGTGCTCGGCAAACGCGTCACTCTTTATCTTATGCTCCCAGCTCGAAAGGTCAACTACAAAAGGACCAGTGGTTATAAGTCGGTAATATATGCAAAGAGAAGTGGATATCTGAGGGATTCCATTATAAGTGGCTGAGCAGACTTACCCTTCCCTGCTGTGATGTCCTGACAGGCTTTGAGGATGTCTAAAGGGCCTCCAGCATGACTCCAATTCCCCTTCTTTCTCATTCTCTTCTTTTGTAGAACTAAAACACAAAGAAAGGATTGCTGATAAATAAAAAATCATAGCCAGACACAATATAGGACATGTTTTAATGATGATGTGTATAAAAAAGGATAGGCTCGCAGGCACTGAGATTTGGGGTGTGCAAAAATATCAAAAATATCAAAACATCAGTACATCGTGTAGTTTAAATGGATGATACAGTATCGATATCGTGGGGTGGTGTGGCGATACATCTCCAAGAGTATTTTTGTCTGTTTTAATACCAGTAATTATTTTGTGACAGCACACTAAACAAGCAACAGCATTTTACCTCTGTCACAAAATAATTACTGTTTTGATATTTTTGCACATCACAGCAGGGAAGAGTAAGTCTCCCTACAGGTTGAAAGATTTAGCGCCTTGTAGGAAAAGCAGAGGAGAACAGAAAAACAGTGCTCCCTGCTGGAGGAGATGAGCACTGCATTGGAGCAGGAGCTGGAAAAGAAAAAGAGGAGGTGGTACAGGAGGCTCCTGTGCATCTAGAGCAGGCATGTCCAAACTAAGGTCCAGGGGCCAAATGCGGCCCTCAGACAAATTTTCTTGGCCCTCAGGCTTTCGGGTGAATTGGCCCAAATTATCTTGCATCAATTAAAACATTTTTACTGCAAGTTTTTTGAAATTCTCCCTTGCTAAGCTAATATTTAATATTTAGTGTGTAGTTTTAAGGATCTTAGCATGATTAAAGACTGATGGCTCATTCTAACGTGTTAAACATGCACACATTTCAATTATTCCCTGTACTGAGCACCAGTCTACGGCTCTCGATCGGCCCTCTGCTTCGTCTGTGTTTAGATATGTGGCCCATTGATGAAAAAAAGTTTGGACACCCCTGATCTAGAGCCTCTCACCCCCCTCACTGTTCTGCACATGAACAATAAAGCACAGCAAAAATATATATATGTTGTATTAGTGTTTCTAAACTGTGGTAAAAGTAAACAGACAGATATTGTTCTCAGCATATATTTTTGAACACATACCTTTTTGCACATTTTTATTTGAGCATTTTTCAAAAACAGAAAAAAGTTAACCTCAGTGCGCAGTAGGTTTGTAATCTAAAATATAAATGCAAGAGTGAAAGAAGGGGAGCAGAGAGAGCAGAGAGAGAATATTTTGTAGAGAAAAAAACAGAGAAGGTAGAAGAGAGGAGGTAGAGGAAGAAGAGACAGTGAAAGTGGGATAGAGAGAAGGAGAGCACACATACAGAGAGAGGGGAGGGAAGAGAAGGAGGATGGTAGAGAGAGAAATAGACAGGATGGAGAAAGAGACAGAGGGAAAGGGATAAGAATTAACGCCGCAAGCGGTGTCGAACAGCCCTCGCCTCGCCCTGCACACACCGCGCCTTGAACACGCCGCCCCCCGCAAACACAGCGCCCTAACCCTAATATCTGTAAACCCCAAGCATGACTCGAACCGCTAACCTCAACCCTAACACTAGGCCTAACCCTACATGTAACCCTAAGCTGCAAAGAACCAAGATGCCAAGCCAGAAACCAATCAAAGTGATCCGATCTAGTTTAGTTACAAGCAGGAAATGGTGCAGTGAACCAATCCGGTCTAGAATTAGCTTCATCGAACTTCATCTCTTTTCTTTCTTTTAAATGTAAACCCCGTCCACACATGAGAAAGGCCAATGGGATACAGCTTCTGTCCTCCTCAATCACAAATCATCGAATGCTTTTGCCTTGGCATCTTGGATCTTTGTTGAGAAATTTTTCAATGGAATTTTACACTCTAAATGATTCAAACACCTTTTTTCAGAGTTAAAAAATTCAAAGTGAGACATTCAGCAGTATTTAAAATTCAAAATCTAATGGAACAAATTATCTTCCATACGTGTTGTACTATGGCCTATGTATAGAGGTACGTCTGGCATCTGCAATTTCTTAAAGATACCAAGACCTAATAGCCAAGTAATAAAGACGCATTTTATATTATGGAATTTCACGATTCTGAATTTATATAATACGGCTTAAAATAATGCCTAATTAAAAACACAGACACAATTACACAGCCTCAGATCTCAATATACTCTCGCACAGCTTGACATCTACTGGCAGCAGAGGGAATTACCACAGTGAAAACAATTAAATTAGGAACAGAGGCACATGTCCGGACATGTGGATGTAAAGCTGCCAGCGGTAATGAATGCAATTTGACAACTGAAATGCTTAAAACAAGTCTGGAGATGATTTATTCATTAAAAAATGTGCAGGGCTTCCAGTTGTAGCATCACAGTCATGGGAAATTTCAAACTGAGTGTTGGGCGAGGTTCAGAGTCAAAAGACTTGACAGAAACTTGCTGAAATCAGTGTGAAACCAGTGTGTACTTGTTTTCCAATTCCCAGTGGTCTCACCTGTGCTGTAGGGCTGTCCGGGGTGGGAAGTGAAGCAGACGATTTCGAGATGAGGGAACTGTGAGGTCAGGTAGTGTTTCCAGGCAATCACCAGCGGAGGAGGACACAAGTCGACTTTGTTCAGCACCAGAACCACCTGCTTCTGAAGAGCGCCTGTGATGTAGTGGTACAGGTCTGGGGGAAGCTGCAGCACCTGAACAAAGAGTGGAAATTTAACCACTGGGTCTTTATAAACACTGCAAATTAGGGCTGTACTATTAATCACATTATAAAGTGAGATTCAATTATCTCTAATCGTCCATTACATGCTCGAGGCTTTTAATCAAGCAGTCAGCCAATCCTCTGTCAGTAAAAGCACGCAGTTTGGGAGCAGACTTCAGAATTCGGAGATAAATTGCAGTTATTAAAAGTCTGTATTGTTCATGTCCAGAAAAGTAATAGTGAAAGCAATTTTATTTGATTTCAGTAGACTAAATGACATCAAAATGGAAATAACCAGACTTTTAAAAATCTTATATTGATTTAATATTTTGTCATATGCCTTTCTACAAATAAGGAATCTCTAGATTCAGATTCCAATTATTTTGTGAAGTGCTGAATCTAATTTTTTTTTACTGAAAGATGGTCAAAAAATGCTTATTTGCAATGTTGACATGTTACTAAAAATAACTTCTTTAGGTACATATAATCTTTGGACCTGTATCATTATTTAACTTGTTTCAAAACTTCAAACTTCAATTCATTTACTTAATCTGCTGGCTGATGTGTTTACTAATTCAAGGTGATTACATCAGGGATGCAACGACAAGTTCAACAATCCACCCTGTAAGTAAATATACATAAGTCACAACTACTGATAAGATTCTCATTCTGAACTGAAGTCATGTTCTAAATTTGCTACATTTGTCTCCATCTGCTGGTCGGGTGTAGTATTTTCACTCACTGGATGTCTGATGTCCACGATGAGCAGGATGACGTCTGACATTTCTAATACTCTCCACAACTGTCTCCACGTCTGCAAAATGAACAGACAACAACTCCTAATTGAGGAAAATGAAATGACATATGATATTTAAATATTATGACGATGTTTGGAAAGTAGTGTATGAAATGTAAGTGTTATGGCGCCATTATACAATTTCATTTCAATAGGTCTTTTATACACAGAAATATTGTATCATGGTATTAGTAAAACTAGGCGTCATATACACACTCTTCTTGAAAATAACAGTTTGTAAATTGTGTGTGAATACAGCTTCTAATGCAGGGGTCTCCAACATTTTTTCTCTGGTGAGCTACCTTTACAAAACAAAAATGCCGGAGAGCTACTAGTTTTTAGCCAGGCTGGCGCCACCTAGTGCCTCCGCTCAATTTAATTTCTCTCCAGAGACTAGGTCAGGAATCAAAATACACTAGACAGTTCGCAAAAACCCCTGTGCAAGGGCGGGTTCGGGCACCAGCCAATCAGCAAACAGTCAGACATTCTGTGTTGGCAACGATTCCCGAGATCGAGGATTTAAAGCCGGAATAAGGAGAATATTTGGTGAATTTCATCAAGGGGAAAAACGTTATTGCCCTTCTCCCTACGGGATTTGGGCTTAATATACCAGTTAGCCCCATTAGTGGTGCTTTACATACGTGACGACCAAATAGCAGCGACTGGTCAAATGAAAAAAGTACCCGCCTACCATAGAGCGAACAAATTATAACACTGTGAGGTCAGACGGTTTCTACGAAGTGAAACCGGCTGATGAATCCGGCTTACCTGTTTTAGTGGTCGCAAGAAATTGAGTCAGTGTAAGAAAGAGGGCAAGTCTTAAACGAGGTACCGTTAGATGCGTATAAAATATAAACCATTATCTACTTATTAAAGCACAAAGTTATGCATCAAAATGATAGTAATAGCCATTTAATTAACCAAACTGTACTTATTTGCACAGTACATATAATTCAGATATCCTTTGGCGAGCTACTTGGAAGGGGGTAGAGAGCTACAGGTTGGAGACCCCTGTTCTAATGCATTATAACAACAATTGCACTTTCAATGTAAAAAAGTTCACTTAAAAACTCTGCATTTATCAATCTTCAGATTAACAGGTTTGTTCATTCTGTTGTGACATTTGAAATTACATCTTACTTTCACGGTTTAAACATAGTTGTTACTTATTTATTCACCTCCAAGTTGTGTTCAAAGTGGCTCAGAGTTCCAGGTGGGTTTCTGGAGTGCAGGTCATCCAAATATTCCCTGTAGGACTTCTCCTCTTTCCTCAGCAGACTCTCTCGCGTCATATCGTAACTCCAAGATGGCCGGCGAGGAAAGACAAGACCTAAAATGAAAGATTTAGGTTAAACATGTCAAGCTGTGAGTCACTGGATAATACATGACACAAATATTCTGAATTTCTAATCAGTTTTGTCTTTTGTGTGTTACAAATACTGTTGATGAGGAGTCGTTATTTTTTAATAGTACCTTAAAACCAGTTACAAAAGCTGTTAAAAAGTTAATTATACATCTTAAAGGAGCACTATGTAGCTTTTGTGGTGGTTCTGCCATGTCTTGACTCCAGGGATATGTTTATTTCTTTACTATGGCATTAAATATCTTTCATTTATTCAATTCACAGTTTTTGTATTGCTTGAAAAGTTACTTAGTTCAGCTTTAATATCTAGTAACAGCACAAAACCTGAATATTCTAAGTACAAATTATTTTATTTTAACTCATGTAGGTGAAAAGTGAGAGTTTAAACCGGCAAACCTTTATCTGAAGGATAGATGTCACAAATGTCTATCTCTAGTTCTTTGTCAGTGACAGGCTGCAGCTCCTTTTCTCTCGCTACCTTCTTCCTTTTCTCCACCTCCTCTTTACTCTCCTTCTCAAAGTGCAGTCGGAATCTAATGTAGAAAACAGCAGACGACATAAAACATGTGTTAATTTATTCATGAAGTATTTTGTTTTGGTGCCGTTTCAACATTTTACTGCGGGGTTTCAGACATTACACAACACAATTGACTCTGTGACCTCTTTATTGTTTAATTGAGATGGAGTACTGACACAATCACAGATGTTGTGGTTTAATTAGGCAAACAGAATGACATAATGGACCTTATGATTTGTGACGGTTAATCAGATTTAACATTTCTGGAATTTTCTTTTGGATATTTCTTACGAGAATACAGGAATTCTGGCCTCAACCCCCATCTGGGAGACAGTTTTATACAAATCCGAAAACAACTATTTAAAATGACAAATGAGTAGGGATGTAATGATATCCAAATGTCTCGGTACGATATTATCACGATATGCTTCTCATGGTCCGATATTTATTGCGATATTGGCTAAATATTGTATTTAGGACACTTTTTTGCTTTTAAAATACCTTGACAAGATTTTGGTGTGAATTATTCGCGTCATAATCCCAAAAATTCAAGTAAAAACATATTTCTTCATGTTGTCTGCACTGAAATGAATCATGGGATATGTAGTTCCCTATGTTTATAAGGTGTTGCTACTGTAAAACCATGCATTTAAGCAAAGAAACTTGTAATTTGATATATTGTGACAGCCCATTATATTATTGTGAGACTTTTGACGACATCACAATATCACAATATTTCGGTTATTGTTACATCCCTACGAACAATCTTACCTATTAGGGTCATGTCTACCATCCCTGCCCCCTGGTTGTTGGTTTATTCTCCGTATATCTGTGGTCTCGCTGTCTGAAGTGTCTGATTGGCGGTCTCCTCTCTCCACACTGGCATTACGGCTGCTCGGGCCTGAACCAGTCTCGCCTCAAACACAAAATAGTAGGTTAAGAAGATGACGATAACTACGTGTTACATCGTCAACACATAGTTAATGAAATAACAATCATCATGGTCAACAGTGCAGTTGGTGTCAGAATACTCTCTAAGGCACTTTCAAACTATTTCTTATTTACAAGATGGACCTGTAAAAATGGCTACTTTAAATTTACTTTTTGGATTTATCATTACTGGTCTAATTTGAAAACTTTGCTTCTCACTGAAATCTAGAGAATAAAATTTACTACATTCATTAAGAAGTTGCTGATACGATACATACCTCGATAGGCCACTATACAGTAAACTTTTGATTTGATACGATCTATTCAAATCAACTTGATACATCTCTATAAAAAATAATCGCTAAATGATGGCTGTGATACTAAAACTCTTTGTTAAACCACTTCTTGGGCAGAGTGAATATAAAACAAGCCCAGTTTAATCATCAAAACAGTGAATATGTCAAATGAAAACAATATGATATATAGGGGTGTGCAAAAATAGTGAAATATTGATATATCTTATTCTTTAATGTGATGATACAGTATCGATATCACGGGCTGCTCTATTGATACGTCGCCAAGAGTATTTTTGGTGTATTTTACTACATAATTTTTTTTACAGCGCTACAGTTTTGTTGCTTGTTTAGTGGAAGGAAACTTGTTTATGCGACACATTTGACATTTTCACTGTTTTGATGATTAAAATGGGCGTGTTTCATATTCACTTTGCACAAGAAGTGGTTTAACAAAGAGTTTTAGTATCACAGCCATGATTTAGACATAATTTTTTATTGAATCGTATCGAATCGATTTGAAATATATTGCATTGAATCGTACTGAATCGAAAGCTCACTGTATCGAGGTATGTATTGTATCGGCAACTTCTGAATGAAACCCAGCCCTAGTGATATGTTGATATTTTGATATTCTGCATGCTCCAAACGGTTGGGGGAATTGGTTTTGCTTATTTAAGCTAAGTTACCTAATCAGAAACATGATAAGAAGTGTGACAATCTCCATCATATAAGCAAGTACATCTAAATAACTCCAAACTACTCATAAAAAGATAAGAATTGTGCATCATGTCTCCATGTTCTCCAGGTGCTCCAGTGGTGTCAAAATTGCACTTTTCAAATGTTTCTGTTCACCATATACTCCGCATCTTTGGCGCAACTACAAGAAAACGAGTTTGCAGAGTTTAACAGTGGTCTATAATGACTCTTCGAGAACATTACTCAAAGTTCAGAGGTTTTGCAGCGCCAGTGAAATGTTGGTAAACTGTGGTGTCACAATCAGATGTTGTATTTATTCTTTTATGTGTAGAGCCATGAATCTGAGCAATCAAATCATTCAAGCTCTAGTGTGTCCTGTGAGGAGCTGTCAGATTCACCTCTAAACAAAGTAAAAACACTGTTGGTCTTGTCTGTATACATTATAAAATGCACTCTATATTTACATTTTTTATTCTTATTATTTTTTATACTATGCACCAGATATTATGTGTTCTTAATAAAGATGGAACTGAATTGATCAAGTTTAGTCAATTTAAGCCCTGCTACGTATTCCTAATTTGCTGTAAGTGTATAATAGTTGTTACATGTTGTGTGACAAAGACATGCCTGTAACTTTGCACATGTTTTAACTCCAGGATAAAACTTCAAGTAGGAACATGCCCCTCCATAAAATAGAACTACACAACTTCTCACAACAAAAAGCTGAGTGTACAGAAAGCTGAACTAGAAGACAACACTGCACTGGCTTGTAAATAAAATAAAACTTAAAGACGCTTGTGAAACATGAGTGAATTTTAGAGCTTGTGCGTGGAGTTTTGGTGACAGAAAAATGTCACATCTGAAGTTCAGAGATGTACGCAGACACCATTTGTCACGTTGTCATTGCGTATTTACATGCAAATACGTATTAGATTTGTGTAGATTGAAGATAACAAACATAAAGCAGTAAAATGTGCTCGTTAAACCACAATATTCACCCCAAAAAGAGCAGAAGAGACGAGCGGAGCTAAATGCTAACGCGGCTAAGGCTGCGTGCAGAGCATTACCTCTCTTTCTCTCGCGCTTGATCTGCAGCTGTTTCTTCTTCTGTTTGTTGCTGAATGGCTTTTTCCGCGGCATATTCAGAGCAAAATGATATAAATACAACTAAGGACTGTGTGGTTTTATCGGTCTGCTCACACACAGCTCTCTCTAATAATATTTACATGGGTGAAGTTTCTCGACTCCCACACTTTAGTGACGCCATCTCCACTGCAGAGAATGGACCGTACCAACGCACATTTTTCTATTTAGACTGTATTTACGTGGTTAAATGTGAATGTTATGACTTAAGAAGCGTTTATAATCACTACTAAAACTACTGTAATTCATCTGTATTCCCAACGTGTCGAAAAGATGTTGTTAAGTTACATCCCTCTCAGGCGGAATGGTACGGTCCACTTTTGTAAACAGCCCGCATGCATGGCACATTCCAGCAGTGCAGTCTATGGTTCACTCCCACACTACTATAGACGAGCATTTTTAATTTTAATTTGTCCTAAGGCTTGGGTGACACGCCAGCAAAGTTATATCCCAGTTTATGTTTGATTAGAATCCAGGGAAAGTTACTATAATCACGAAAATAGTCAGCTTCTCCTGAAATGTCACTCTTCTTTGCAGTGGGTTAAATCAGCCTGTCACTCAAAAGTAGCACTGAGGATGACCAATAGTAAGTGTGTTATTAGTTTGTTTTCATACCTATGGGAATGTAATGAAAGGAGAGTATGAAAACAAACTCTTGGTCTGAAAAATGAACCTAATAACATAAATTATGAGAAGACCAAATTAACCTCATTGGAAGTGTGGGTGGGAAAAAAAGTTGATTGTGAAGAAATAACATATTGTCACACCATTAGATTTGTAACACCATATTACCCAGCCAATACTACAATAATAATCTGGACTAAGTAGTAGAATTTGAATGACTACAGTGAATAGACGGGTCATGATTGCAGTATGATTTATTTTATCTTGAACTAATGATGCGTGATCTTGTCCATTAATAGGGTTATGTAAACTTGGATAGTATGCAAGTATTATAGCAACAACACATTTGAATAGTTACATTATTCATACAAGCTTAACAGTACACTAGAATTACATGAAACATGAAGAGGCTACTCGCATCTCATGAAGGCCTGCAAATGAGTCTTTGCATGGATCAAAGTCCAAACAAGTCAAATCATTATAAAAAAAAGTCATTTTGTAGAATACTCCAATGTTGATGTTTGTCCCTTTGGAGGTGGATAGTCTTCAACAGCACAGCAAAGACAATAACAGTCTGACCAACTATGTGAAAGTAGTAAAACTTACCTTCACATGTTAACACTGCAAGAAAGTCATTCTACCAGGGTTAAAATGACTTGAATTCAAAATATTAAACTTATTTTAAAAGACTAGTTTTAGTTATTTGGTATATTTTCACCACCTATAAAACATAAAGCTTGTCCCTCTCCATGGAGACAAGCAAGTGATTCCAGCATTTTTTTAAACAATAAAAACAACTATAATTTAATAAATGAAGTATAAATAGGTTTATACCATGATGTGAAAAATTCCACGCAAAGTGATACCATTTTTATTAGTCGAGCAGATGACAAACCTTCCACCATAAAACTTAGATCACCTTTAATAATAAACTAATATTCAAAATTCAAGCCATTTTAACAAGTTTTTCTGTTTTTGCAATGCATCACCATCATAAACAGAAAAGCCATAACACTAGAGCTGCTGGAGGTGAATATGTTTGGAAGAGCAGCAAGAATAAAAAGAACAATGTCTCGTTTCTTTCAATAAAAACCATCAGTGTGATGGATTGAAACATCATCATTGCAGCCTTTACATGCACTTGCTACTCTGATCAGCCAGGCTAAAGGACAACAATTTGAATGCAAAAAGATGACAAAACTGAGAAATAAAACTACTATAGTTTACATTTATGACAATGTATTTTTTCATATTGTCCTCTGCCTTTAGTCGTTACCCGGTACAGTCTTTGCTTCAATAGTTCTTGTGAATGATTATATTGCTTTTATTTGTCCACATTTAAAGGGGCTGTACCTGGTTTTGTCAAGTTTTGAAATAGTGACAGAAGAAGAAAGTCAAATTTAACATTCCAAATGATTTTTTACATTTCCTAACCCATTCTAAACATTAGGATTCTTCGCGAGGATGAGTTATTAAGTACCTTTCACAACATTCAGAGGGAAATTCGTGCTATGCATTTGACCCATCCTTCAATGCTTAATCAATATGAATGTTGCCTTGTGTGCTGGTTTTGGTGCCAATGATGCTTTTTAAAAATCAGATGCAGACCAGTTTAGTCATTAATAGCTGCTTTTATGATATAATGTATTGGTGCAAGTCCCAGACAAAACCTAGACAAAAGCATTAGGTACAGCCCCTTTTAAGTCTTGTATTTTCTTTCTATTTCTTTTAGTAGTGAAATAACATTTGCATTCATCTCTACGAGTTCAGGTGCTCCACTTGGATCGTGGACGCCGACACAGTGAGGCACAGGTCTTTATGTGGCGGGATTTCAGACACATTCACGGGTTTGTACTGAATGTCACTGGCGGCCACGGTCTTGTACTGGTGGATATCAAAAGCGCAGGGCACGCCTTCCGTTTGCTGATAGTTACTCGGCGCTTGTCCTCCTTGCTGAGCTGTCCCGCTGGCTCCCGAAGTCACAGCTGCCCCGGGGCGATTTGGCGAAGCATCCGCTGGCTTACCCTCTTCTCGGCCGCCCTGGTTCTGCTGGTTTGCTTGTCCGGCTGCTGCAGATGCTAACTGGTCTGCGCTGTGTTTCTCCATGTGTCTCACCAAATAGGTCTCCTGGGATGAGGGGAGGATAGGTAGAGGGGAGACAGTGGACATGTGACTACACGGTGCATTGTAGTAGCTCCCGGCTGAGTGATGCCAGTGAGGCGACTGATAGTGTTTCATGTAGCAATTGTCTTCATAAACCGATATTTGTCTTACTGATGTGTAGGAGCGGTTGCAGAGACCACAGGAGTAGATGCGGGCGTGTTTTACGGTGTGCGTTGCCATGTGGACCTCCAGGCTCGCCGCGTCTATGTAGCCCTTGTTGCAGTTGGCGCACTTGTAGGGCTTGTCTTTGTTGTGTTGGCGTCGATGTGACTGGAATAAAATGGTTATTGGAGAGAAAATGCTAAGAGGAATTCAAAATTTCAAACATATTTAACAAAAGTACTGAAAAAGGTTACATGCATGTTTTCAAATTTTTGGTGGAGGATTCGTTCAAACCTGTAAATTCGAGAGCTGTGTGAAGGATTTCTCACAGCCTGGGTGGTTGCATTTGTACGGCCGGTCTCCTGTGTGGATCCTGTAGAGGGAAAAGTAATTAATATAGACAAAAACTATAACTACATTTCTGGATATTAAATTTTTTATAACTGGAAACAGGTATAAGGTAAGGCCCTGCACCCGTGGGATCCAGCGCAAAACAGTGCGGCGCAGGACACATTTTTAAAGCTCACTGCAGGCTTGGGTGGGAGCGGGACTGTGGGCGGATGGGATGATAAACTGCAGTCTCACAAACTAAATATGAGTGTAAAGTAAAATATACAAATGCTGAATGTTTGTCTATCATACATCATTTGTGCTGGATATTTTATTTGGCTTTAATAAAAACATTTTAAGCAGCCTAAACTTGCGGAGGTGGTCTAATCTCGCGCACATTTTAGACAATTCCTTTCTGCTTCTTCGTGTTTGATAGAGCTTAAGAAAGCCAACGTCCCCATCTTGCAAGATTTGCGGGCGGGAGCGGGACAAAGTATCACAGATGCAAAAAGGAGCAAGAATGAAAATTACAAGGGAGGGAGTGGGACTGTCCCGTGCAGACCTCTACGACCTCTAGTATGAGGGATTCAAGCTCCTAATGAAACAATGGATTTGACCTTATTGATTACAAAACATTGTTCAAATTCTACTCAATTTTAAGACAAGATTGTATATCTTTTTTGTTTTAATTGGTAAACAATTACACTTCTTTATGGCATTAAAAAATATGTTCTCGCTGAAAGACCTTTTGACCAAATTTTTAACTAGTCTAGGCAAAGAAAGGCAAGTTTATCTGTATAGCACAATTTGTACACAAAGTATTTCAAAGTGCTTTACAGAGTCTAGTATTGTATGTTTTTTTTTTTTTTTTTAAATCTTTGTGTTTAGTATGTATAATACACATATTTCAGGGTTCCTACTGTTTCCATGACTTTTTCATGACCTAAGGTTAATTTTTCATAACTTTATAGCACCCTACATGTGTAGAATTGATCATACTTTTAGTCATTTTATTTATATAGCACATTTAAAAACAACCATAACAAGCTGCACCAAAGTGCTTTACAGCATGAAACACAACATAGTGAAACACTAAGAAATATAAAATACAGAAAAATAGAAAATATTACATTATTTAGGACTGAATATGAAATGTTAACCCTTTCCACTCCCTTATGGTTTGGTATTATAGTTTTTTAACATTCCAAATACTGTCAGTGCATTTATTGTTGTCTCTTTTAAACAAAAGGCGCATATGTTTGGAAATAATCATAACAGCCTAATGATAACTTAACAGAACGCTGTAGTTGCCTGAAAGAGATAATAAAATTCCATGACTTTTCCAGGCCTAGAAAGTGACATTTTCAAATTCCATGACTTTTCCAGAATTTCCATGACTGTGGGAACCCTGTATTTTCCTTTTACTATGAACAAAAATCCCTGTAAATATCCCTCCTATGACTCTCTGTGTGATATTAAATGACGACAGAATGCCAAATGCCCGGAGGAGTAACTGAACCCGAGCGTTTCGTTTACCTGTTGTGTTGCTGGAGGTGGCTGAGCTGTCTGAAGGACTTTTCACAGACGGTGCAGGCGTACGGCTTCACTCCGGTGTGAATGCGGAAGTGCTGGGCCAAGTAGCTCGAGTTGGCGAACGACTTTGTGCAATGAGGACATTTATGGGGCTTCGACTCCGTGTGGTTCCTGCAAATGGAGAGAAAGTGAAATGTAACGTGACGCCATCAAGCAAAGACAAGCACGGCACAAATAAAAATGTGGTTTGCTTAATAAGGAAATAATAACAGGACAGATGGCTTGAATTCAAAAATATTTTTTCTAGTTTTGAATTGCTCTGGATGATAAAAAAGGTAAACTATGTAACTATGTTGTTGTAGGGTCGGCCACCTGCTTGCCTTCACGGATGACTCATGTTATTTCTTGCCTGGAATGTTCCACAGTATGGCATTAAACTTATCCCCTGTCCATGGAGACAGACAGGGGAAGCTACCAGGCCAAGTTACAGATCAGGTCTCTGGAGAGGTGGCCATGCTCGTGTTTTTCAGGGTGTCATGAGTAACAGAACACCGGCTGAAATTAAAGAAATGCATGATGGACAAGTTTAATGCCACACTGTCAAAAATTCCAGGACAAAGCAATGGCATCTCCATGGAAACAAGCAGCTACACCTCACTAGAAAAGGTACACAGTGCAGCTTTAAATTCACTGTATTACTTAAACATTTCTACCTTAATTTCAATTGTTTCGACTGATTTAAACTAAGAATTTCGCTGAATAAATCTACTTTCGCTTTTCAAAACAAGAAAAATATTATGAATTCAATGTTTGCCCTTTTGCAGAGCGTAATCTGAACAGAAAATAAAACATAACACTATGCAAATACAGCAGGAAGGAAGTGACAGTAACTCACAGTAGTGCACATCATTTTTCACTGAACAGACATTAAAATGATGCATAATATTGACATCACAATGGGAGAAATTAAGGGCACGATGATTATAATAATTAATGGAAATTTTCTGGACGCGGCGACACGTGTAAATTTGACAGAACAATGCAGAAAGCAAGGATGGGTCACATAAAGTACACAGCACACGTTATAAACATGATTGCAACCATTACCTAGTACCTGCCATGCAATAATATTTAAATTTAGCACTAAATTGCTCCAAAAGAGGTAATTTGAAGCAGGAAGACAGCATGCGAGCCAACACAAAAATGGGCAATCTCGTTCCCAGAGGCAGAAAATGAGGGGCTGTTTAGCTGGGGACTTGGCAAATGAAGGTGACAGAGAAATAGAGGTGGGAGATATGCAGTCTACAAAATATTCTTGAATTTCTTGTCACTAAAATGGAATCTACAGATTTTTCAGTGTAGTAGGTTTTTCAATCTTTACATTTCTTTGTTTGCTCTTTACAACTTAATGCTGAATCACTCTTCCTTTGCTTTATATATTTAGTTTTGTTGTTTAGTTTATGTACTATTTTATCTACACTATTGTACACTAGCATTAGAATTGTGTACTTCTAAATTACTGCAAATATTTAAAAACTTTCTCAAATCTAAAGCACAGTGCTACTAATGTCAAATTCATTACAAAGGCCAAGAGAAAACTCCTATTTTGGCCATATTTTTACTCTACAAAACCATTTAGGTTTGATCACAATTCATATAAACTCTACTTTTCCATTTACTCGAAGAGGTAAAAGTAAATTAAAAGTAATCTGCCTCTTCTGTTCACACTTCACTGTGATTGGTTAAATCCAGCTGTCACTCACTCAGAGAAATCAGACAGCTGCATTAAACAGAAATAGTGGATCACAATATGGTGATAAAACCAAAATTGCAGATTTTCAAAGGGAACAGATCACAATTCAGTTTTTATCACCACATTGCCCAGTCCTAATCCAGACAGAAATGTACGATTACGTAATAAATCACCTAATTATCGGAATGGAGCTCAACAGTCCCCGCTCTAGTTCCAGAAGTGCATTTTTCATTCATTTTTCCGAGAGAAAAAAATCAAAAATCAAGAGTTTAAAGGCAGGACAGAGGCTAAACAGCTACGTGGTGACTAGGATCCATACTTACTTTTACTTTACTTATGAAAAACAAGATTCTGTGAAATGTTTTAATAATTTAACAGTTCCCAAAGTTTCAGAAATAGATTTATAGAGGAGGGGGAGGTCACTGTTGAGCTCCATTAACCCTAAAAATACTTTGAGAAACAAGATTAGTCAATATCGCCCACCCCTAGAAGAAAGATGGGGGGAGATGGGGAAGTGAACAGGGTTAAGGGGGATCTGCAGTACCGTGTGTGCTGCTGTAAGTGACTGAGCTGTCTGAATGATTTCTGGCAGTAGGAGCACGTATACGGCTTTGCTCCGCTGTGGATGCGGATGTGCTGGGCCAGGTAGCTGGAGTTGGCGAATGACTTGGCGCAGTGCGGACACTTGTGGGGTTTGGCCTCTGTGTGCGACTTGGAGTGGATCTGCATGTCAGACTTACTGAAGAAGGTCGCCGCACACATCCGGCACCTACAGGCGGAGAGACACAGAGATGGAGGACGGAGAGCCAGAGGAAAGACCAGGGACCAGACCAACAAGACGAGAAGAGCAGCCAATAGGGGTGGGCGATATAATGAGTCTACAAGATTTTGATGCTAAAAGTTGCTTTACAGTTTAAGATGCACTTATTATGTAACTTTTCTGGCAAAGGGTCCGCGATCTGTTTGTCTCCATGGATATGTTGTCATGTCTGGAATGTAGGTGGTCTTCGGGACACTGTTTTAGAGATTAAGATGTTTCGGCTCCCATCCAGAAGCCATTTTCAGTTTAATCGCGAAAACAGTGTCCAGATGACCTTCACTGAACTACTCTTGGACAAATGAAGAATTGTCTGGAAGAATTTGCCTGGAATGTTTTACAGTATGGCATTAAATTTATCTTCAAATGAAACAGAAAATCCACACCTAAGTTCTCGCAGTGTTGGGGAGTAACAGATTACATGTACCGGAGTTACGTAGTCAGAGTACAAATTATGAGTAACTGTATTCAGTTACAGTTACTGTTTCAGTTTCAGTGGTAATTTTCATTACAGTAATGGATTTTTTGATTACTTTACTTTGTTGAAATAAATGGATTACACGGCGGGATTTTCCTGTTTTCACATTTTGGGCTATATCCCCTATCCCCCTTTTTTCTTTTTTTTTGGTAATTCCACTCATTGCCGGAAAGTAAACCAGGTCTAAACTAGATCTAAACCTAAACCAGGACTAAACTAGATCTAAACCAGGTAACTAAAAGCTACTAAACCAGGACCAGCTAAACTACTGAGCTAAACCAGGAGCTAAACTAGAGCTAAGTCTAAACTAAAAGACTAAACTAACTAAACTAGAGCTAAACCAGGACTAAACCAGGACTAAATCAGGTCTAAACTAGATCTAAACTAGAGCTAAACCAGGACTAAACTAGAGCTAAACCAGGACTAAACAGGTTAGAGTCTAAACTAGATCTAAACTAGAGCTAAACCAGGACTAAACTAGAGCTAAACCAGGTCTAAACCAGGACTAAACTAGAGCTAAACCAGTGCTAAATCAGGTCTAAACTAGATCTAAACAGGACTAAAACCAGGTCTAAACTAGATCTAAACCAGGACTAAAAACAGGATCTAAACTAGACTAAAAACAGGCTAAACAGGTCTAAACCTAAAAAAACAGGATTTAACAGGACTAAACCATCCTCCTCTTCTATCAATAATATTTTTAATACAGTTGAGTAAAGTCTGGGCTTTTCAATTTCTTTTATCAGACAAAACATCTTATGTTACGATATCCTAGTCTTTGTTACTCTACAGAAAACCAAGTAATCCAAAGTATTCAGATTACGTTACTCACTTTAAGTAACTTAATGGATTCCGTTACAAACTACATTTTGGGGTGTGTAATCTGTAATCTGTAGGGGAATACATTTTTAAAGTAATCTTCCCAACACTGAGTTCTCGTAGAGGTGCCGATGCAAGGATGCATAGCACACTCAGATGTCCAAAACTTTTAATTTTTAGATAATGTTTCGGCAAAAAAGCCTTCATCAGATCTTTTTTTCTTTCTGTTTTTCGTGTTGTAGAGTGGGCTGAGTTCACTGGGTGACCTCAATCTGGGCTGGCAACTATTTTGGAAACTGTGATCCAAAGCAAGAAAAAAAAAAATCTCCTGAAGGCTTTTTGCCGAAACGTTTAAAAATGGTTAAAGTTTTGGACATCAGCCATCTGAGACAAGAAAGTGACGCCAAAAGGCCAAATTACAGCTCAGATCTGTAGAAAGGCAACACTTCTCACAGTAAGAATTGCTGTTTTTTTCAGTATTTTTGTAATAATAATCAATAAAAATACATTTCAGTGAATAAATACAAGATAGCTATGTTTAATATCATAATGCGAAACATTCCAGGCAAAGCAACATCTCCATGGAGACGAGCAGGGGGCAGATCCTTCACCAGAAATATTACGTAGTGCAGCTTAAACGAATAAGGTCAAACTTCTTCCCACACCCGTTGAGCATGCAAACAATTTAAGGTCTACATATTTTTAGCTTTTGTTTGTGCACATAATATGAACTTACACAATAAACTAAGCTAAAATGCATTACTATCCATTTATATATATTTATACTTGGGTACTACTACTACTACTACTACTACTACTACTACTTCCACATTTGCTCTGGGGTAGACTGACAGAATCTTTGGCTGCCAATCTGTTCCAACAGCTTCTCATTTCATTTCATTTCATTTCTTTTCATTTCTCACCACTCATGCTCACACCACATTCATAGTAGACACACGTAGGATTCTTGTCCATATCTATCTAATTAAATAAAATTATGCAAGACGGTGGGATTAATCTTAAAGACTATCAGTGTGATACCAACTTAAAAAGCAGCAAAAGAGAAGCAGATGAAAAATGTATTGAAAAACATGACATTAAAAATACATTTGTGCCCACGTTTAAATCAAAACATGAACAACAATAATGCTGGAATAGTTCAAAACCATGTCTAAATGTTAATATCGCCCACCCTTTAATAAAGGGCCACACGGAGAAGCAATGGCCCATAAAGAAACAGCCAGACTCAAATTAAGAAAATGACAATTACATAACAGATACACAGAAGGAAAGATGCAGAGTTGAAACCAGTGCAGCATTAAAGGGTTTGAAAAAGCAAGACAGCACTAATTGGCAGTAGGTCTGTCACGATAACACATTTTGAAGCATGTTATGTTGCTACAGCTATAAGATATTACAATAAATGGTAATACTGTAACTACTTTAAACTACTTTATGCCACTACACTATTAAAATAATAATAATAACACAAGATAATCCCACTAAACCCTTTTTAAAAAGACAGTATGTTTAAAAGGCACGGGCTGCAACAGATAAACAACAGAATCAAGCTGTAATTAGCCATAAAAGTCACTTACCATATTTTCCGCGCTAAAGGGCGCACTTAAAAGTCTTTAATTTCATCAAAAAATGACTGCGTGCCTTATAATCCAGAGCGCCTTATATTTGAATTTATTCGTGTGTCTTAGTACGACTTTAGTAAAGTACAAACTACAAAGCTGCACCACTTGCAGCATTACAGCTCCTGTAGTCAGGAGCATCATGGAGTAATACATACTGTGATTCCTGTTAATATCAAAATGCACCTGTCAAGAGACACGTTTACAACGCCCACTTTAAACTCAAGGCTGTTATAAAATTTAAGTGCGAGCTGTGTGGGAGCAGTGGATGAGAGAAGGTGAACACACATTCACCAAGACAGGGAGACAGCGCCGAGCGACTTACGCCACGATCTGCCAACGGATCGTGGACGCCTGGGCTAAGGATCAGTATCAACTGTGGTCCGAGCTTTCACCAAGACCAGAATCATCACTGAACTGCCAGGGAACAGTAACCACACTGACTCGGATCATGACGAGAGGGATGTGGTGTGCTGGACGCTATAATCGTCCAACTATTTGAACCATTATGAGTTATTGTGAATACGCCAACAATTTAGTGTCTCAGACAGTATTTTTTTACACGTCACAATTGAACAAAGTTGAGAGTTATTGTGAACGTTTTAAATAAAGTCTGACTGACTTATCTAACTGTTGTGTTTCGTTTATTGCGTCTTATAGTCCGCTGTGGTTTATATGTGAAAAAAGTTTGAAAACAGACCATTCAATGCCAGCGCGCCTTATAATTCAGAGCGTCCTATAGTGCGGAAAATACGGTAATCAACCTTTTACAGCTAAAATATTACTGTATTACAACAACAATACCCCAAAAATCTCCCCACTTTTGCAAAGAAAATGTAGACACAAAATACACTGTTCTATCTTTCATATATTAAACGATAAGTCTATATAGTAATTATTGTGACAGGCCTAATTGGCAGACAGTAAGATAAACTATCATAAAATAATACCACAATGGGTAGAAAGAGAACAAGCAGTCAAATTTGTGCAGAAATTCTTGTGTATTCTTGTCAACAAATACACAAACAGAATGGGTCTTCAGTCAGCCGCAGCCAGGAATAATCTGCTACAACATGCTGTGAAGTGCATGTGCGAGACAACTGTGGATATCAAGCATGAAAGCAGCAGCAGCCTTTAATGTTGATATGACCACAAAACAGCAGACAGCTAAAGCAAGGGGGAATAAATGCGCTGAATGATGTATTTTATATTCTTTACCTGTATGTTTTTGTGCTGTCTTTTGGTCCTCGGATGTCCTCTTCATGGGATAAATCATACGGATCTGCCTCCACTGGTGTCACCTAAAATATAATCGTTATTAGTAGGGATGTAACGATATCCAAATCTCTCGGTATCAATATTAACACGATATGCATCTCACGGTACGATATTTATTGCGATATTTTGAAGAGGCTTACATAATTGTTGCTTTTAAAATGCCTTGACAAGATTTTGGTGTGAATTATTACCATCAGAAACCCAAGAATTCAAGTAAAAAACATATTTCTTCATGTTTTCTGCACTGAAATGAATCATGGGATATGTAGTTCCATATGTTTATAAGCTGTTCCTACTATAAAACCATGCATTTAAGCAAAGACACTTGTGATTTGATTAGGGCTGGGCAAAAATTTTTAAAAAATTTATCGCATTAATCGCATGAGTTCGAGTGTGATTAATCGCGATTAATCTCACGTGGTCAGAAAAAAGTGAAAAAAGTGTAAAGAAAAGATGTCAAACTTAGAGAAACGGTCGCGGTGGACTTTTTCAAAATAAAAGCCAATGAAAAACAGACATTTACAATTAAAAAAAATAAAAAAATAAATAATAAAAAATGCTTTAAAGGCATTAAAATAATTGTCTGTGATAATGACTTAATTAGTTAACGCAAATTTAACGCGTTAACGTGCCCGGCCCTAGATTTGATATATTGTGACAGCCCACGAGAAACTTTTGACAATACAATATTACGATATTTCAGTTATTGTTACATCCCTAGTTATTAAATATGTTTTGTTTGCAATTATAATTGAATAAGTTGAGTTGAATTGGCAATATATTACATTTTTTTGGTTTTTACAAATACTTTTTTTGAGTTTCTTAGTCATACTTCCAGACGGTGGGTCAGCCTCAGTTTTTCCCTATTAATTAACATTTAACTTTGCCATTAAATATTCAAAATGTCCATCTGACCATTTCTATTAATGACTAAACTGAGTGTTGAGTGAATGAATAATGAACTGTAAAGCACTTTGAGTATCTTGAAAGGTGCCATTATTAATTAAACCCAAGAACTCACTGTATTACAACAAAAATCTACACTTAAACATTCAATTTAGCTGTCTCCTGGTGCTGTGACGCGATCTGAAACCTGTATAACCTGAAAACAAATTAAGATACACTGCTGTTGCTCTACTGTCTACTACTACTACTGTCTTTATTAACATTTGTGTAACATTACCTGTCCATCTGGTGTGAGCTGAGCCAGAATGATCGTTTCACCTCCGGGTCCAATCCTGGTAGTCTTCTTTTTTCTTCCTCTCTTTGAAGGCGACGGCATGACTTTTTTATCTGGAAAAATAAAAGAATAAATGTACTGATAAAGTTTGCCAAATGGAATAAGATCGCTGCACAGAATAATTGGTCAGAATAGTAAGAATATGATAAAACTCTGATATAAAATATTGATATTAAAATAAAAGAGGTTAAAGAACATTGTTTCATAATTACTGATCAATCAAGGTTTTAATAATATTACATTTCTATCGTCTAATAATGCAGTGAACTTGTATAGCATTGTTACAACCCGGGTGGACACAGGAGGCGAAAGGGCCACAAAAGCAAAAGTTGTTTTTATTTTAAGTTAATTTTACTTCACTTTAAAAATACCAAAACCCGTCCTGTGCTCAAAAACAAAGCAACAACTGTAAGGTGGACCTGGTGAGCCAGACAAACAGAACAAAAGGATGTGGCACTGGGCCAATCCCCGCACAGGGCTGTAAAAGCCAGTGCCGACATCACCAACCTAAAGGAGAAAAAACATCCCCAAGCGCGTCACTGATACACAGCCTATTTATACCAGATCCTGCAATGTCACAAAGTACACAGATATAAATATACACGAAATAGGACGTGCAAAGGGGCAGCAGTATGTAAGAAATATAAAGATTTATCTTAAAAACCTAAAACATGCACAATACTCTAATCAACCAAATACCCAAACCAATTAGATTAGTCCAGACCGACATCTTTGCTCAACATGAGATGGGTTCACTTCTGACAGTTTATCCCGACTTAAAAAGTATATTACAGGGTGTCCCCGGGTTTACCTACCCCAAATTTAAGACTTTTTAAAGACCTTTTTAAGACCACTTGAATGAAAGACCAGCATCACACCCATTATGTGAGCGAAAAACAGCAGATCCAATTCTAATAATGACCAACCAACTACTACAGTATATCTAGAATCTAAGAATCACTGTGGATTAAACCTACACTTCCCCATGATTCATCCAACGTCTTCCTCCGCTCTACTGATCGTTTACTCATTGCCGCCGGCGCCTGAAACCAAAGTATTGTTTGCGCATACTCCAAATTAGACGTTCATTCACGTTACATGATTTCACGTTGTTTTGTTTTTTTCCCTTCCTCCATTTAACATCGCACTGCAGCCCGGATGAGTTTACACAGAAATAGGATAATGAAATTTAAGACCTTTGTGAAAAAAATAAGACTTGGATGACATAACTTAAGAGTTTTTAAGGCCTTAATTTAGGAACATGACATTTAAGACCTTTTTAAGACTTTTAAGACCCCGCGGCTGCCCGGATAAAGTCAGAGGACCACACAATTCGCACACAATTTTCCTTTTAAAATGCCTTGACAAGACTTTGATTCTGTCCTAATCCAAAGAATTAAGATATAAAAGTGCTTATAAAAGTTATTTCTTCATGTACTAGAAGTCGGGACTGAAACGGAGCAAAGGATCATGGTATCTACAGAGATCATTTTCCTCTGTAGATATCACTAGAAACAAACATCTGATTGTAGACCGTTACCTGTGTCGGTCGCATGGAGAGAGGACACCACCATCGTCGCTCCTGGAGGCCCCGAGACAAACGACTGAGGTGAGTTTGGGTGAAACCAGAGTCCCCTGCGGCGTCGTGATGACCAGACCAGCTGCAAACACACAGAGGAACACAAAGAGAAGCACTCAAAGCAACGCACTCAACAAACCTGTGACACCGGAGTAAAAAAGCCTCATGATAAAATAATAAACTTTTACAGCGCATCAAACTGAAACCCCTTTGTGTTGTTGAAGTGCCATCATAAAAAGGCAGAAAGTACTACATCAATCATAATCCTTCGCTCAGTTTCTGCACAGTCATAAGGAAATTGCTGGAAATACAGAGTCAAAGAGTCATCCACCCAACTTGAAAGTAAAGATATTGTTACATATATTAAAGACTTCTAAAGCAGCAGTATGTAACTTTCTGGAGGTGGTACAATACCTGCATGAAAGGGTTAGTTTTAGATTAGTAGTGGAAACCGTCTGACCTCACAGCGTTAGGATTCGTTCGCTCGACGATAGGAGAGTACTTTTTTTTATTTAACCAATCGCTGCTATTTGGTCGTGACATATGTAATGCGCCGCTGTTAAAGAGCTTTTCAAATGCTGTATAGATGATTCTTCGTCTTATTTTATCAAAGGGTATTTCTCAAAGTGTATTTGTCACGGAAAAAACAACTTCTCATGAGCCGTTATCTTCCGCAAGGACAGTCCTCCCTACGCACATCCCTCCCTACGCCTCAGCAACTGACACACACACACACACATAGAAAGAAAAAACCCTGAATTCTGCCTTCTGAGTTTCTTTGTGTTAATATCTCTGTTATTTTCTGACAGCCACTAACAGGGCTAAATGATATATTAAGCTTTTCCCAAAATAGGAAGGAGGAAGAAGGGCAATATCGTCTTTCCCCTTTATAAAATTCACCAAACATTCTCTTTGTTCCGGCTTTAAATCCTCAATCTCAGGAATCGTTGCCAACACAGATTGTATGGCTCTTCACTGATTGGCTGGTGCCTGAACTCGCACTTCCGGGCTTTTTGCGAACCGTCTAGTGCAGGGGTCTCCAACCTTTTCCCTCCTGCGAGCTACTTCTTGTAAAACGAAAATGCCAGAGAGCTGCAAATTTTAGCCGTTGCCAGAAATGTATAAATATAAGGGCCATGGTACAACGAAGATGAGATACAGTTAGACGCTTATACAACATAACCCATTATCCAGTTATCAATGCACAAAATTAGGCATCAAAATTATACATTTACAAAGGAAATAGGCATTTAATCAAGCAAACATGAGTTATTAAGCGCGATATGTGTAATTTAGAAACCCCTTGGCGAGCTACTTGGAAGGGGGTGGAGAGCTCCTGGTAGCTCCCGAGGAACAGGTTGGAGACCCCTGTACCCCTGATTCCTGAACTAGTGGCTGGAGAGAAATGAAACTGAGCGGAGGTACTAAGTGGCGTCAGCCTGGCTAGACAATTACAGCAGGAGCAGTTCAATGGAAAACAAGCAGGAAGAGGTGCTCATCAAGGCCAAAACTTGTGGTGTTACCTGCCTGGGGACAACAGACGGAAATGAGCCTTTTTGCTATTATCTGGCAAATGTAAATGTTCATTAATCCTCTCAGGCTCAAATTAATTTTTTGTATCAGGAAAAATCTGATATTTGGGGAAAATTATAATATGGGGTAGTAATATACAATCCTGACTTTTTTATCCTTCGTAAACAAAAAAAGTATTTTGCACTTCTGGCAGGCCGTTCTTGCACAGTCTGCATCGTCCACGTTTATCAGCACGGATGGGAGAAAAGGCTCCTGAGTAAAAAAAGCTAATAAAATATGGATGTGAAGTAAGTAGGTAATTTAGCTGTTGCAAATCTGCAACGCCTGCCTGGAGAGGGTTAATATGCACTGTCCCTATTAAATAAATATACAATAAAAAAAGACTTTTAGTAAGATTAGTGAGGCTGAATGGTTATGTACTGGGAGATTTACACCTTTTTTGTCCACCTGCCAGGATACATACTAGTTAATCTTAGTAAATAAACCTGTATTGTACCTGCTGTCATGATGCCAGTGGTGGAGACCGGGAGCACAGTGATGTTCTGGGTGCTGTGTGGAGTTTGGTGGTGCGGCACTCGACCCGGCTGGTTTGAACCTTCGAGTTTGGCTCCAGGAGCGGGAATGGTGACCACTGCGGGCTGGTAGTGAGGCCCAGCGGAGGGGGAGAAGGAACTATTCTTATCAACCTGCGAATTTGAACAAGTTTGGTCACTGATTCGCACGGTATTACGTAATTTATTAAGTAACAACGGTTCAATACAGCAAAAAGAGGTGCTACCATTGTAATAGAAGTTACAAAAACACATCTCTTATTAGGGCTGGGTATCATTAAGAAGTTGCCGATACGATACATATCTCAATACACTAAACTTATGATTCGATACGATATATTTCAAATCAATTCAATACGGTTCAATAAAAAATAAAGGTTAAATCATGGCTGTGATACTAAAAGTTACTTTGTTAAACTACTTCTTGTGCAAAGTTAAAATGAAACGCAAACATTTTAATCAGCAAAACACAAAAAAATGTCAAATGTGTTGCGTAAACGAGTTTCCCTTCCTCTAAACAAGCAGCAAAACTGTAGCTGTAACAAAATAATTTAGTAAAATAAACCAACAATATACTCTTGACGATATATCGATACAGCAGCCCATGATATCGACATTAAACAATACGATATATCAATATTTCGATATTTTGCACACCCCTATATCTAATCTTGTTTGGTCAGTTTTAACTTACATTTTAGTTGAGTGCGAGTTGTATAAAAAGTCTGAGTGGCATGATGAATGGACAATTGACCTAATAATAATTATGTTTGATCAATTACGTAATTAGTCAAAATTCTAAAATTTGAGATGAAATAAAAGTATTTATAATCACAAACTGCACCTTCTATAATAATAATTGAAATAATCATATAGTAGTCTAGGCTTTATTCTAGACTAGATAAACCTGATTTAAATTGGTTACATGTCTGAGGAATTTTAATGTGTTGCAGAATGAGCATTAAAAAGATAATTTATAGTTTGGTCATGGTGTCAGTAATTGAAAATAATTGCAAAAGTGTGACGTTACTTCACACGAAAACATTAAAACTTAATATTTCTACAGTTAGAGGCTGAAAACTCTTCCAGCTGACTCCTTACCTGTCCTGGTACTGTGGTCACAGGAGACCAGAAATATGACGAATTGTTAAAATGTGACTCCTCCATGATTCTGCAAAACAAAGGCATAAAATAACGTGATGAATCTATTAGTGTGACACGAAAACATAACAGGAACAGCTCCTGGATGTGAAGCCACCCTAAAAACAGAATCCTACAGTGAAAAGTGAATAAAAAGCTTATTTGAACATATTGTGCCAAGAAAAATATAAGCAGTGAATGAGATGTTATAAAATATGTGATGTGTCCAAATCTAGAGTGCGTCCAAATTGTTCATCCAGTCCTAACAGAATAAGGAATAAAACTTCACAAAACGAGTAATTTCAGTGTTTAAAATTGGACAAGGCGCAAAGGCCGACTCCATTTCGTGTCCTAGCGTTTGGCAAATTAGGCCCGATGTTGAGAAGGCGCACAGCTGATAGTCCCAGCTTGTGGTTCTCTAGTGCTTCAAGTGGAGATAAAGCGACCATAACAAACCATTGAAAAAACAGCTATGATTAAAAAAAAAAAAAAAAAAAGAAAAAAAAAGAGAAAAAAATGTAAGTAGACCGAGCACGCAGACTTCCGGCTATGGAGCAGAACAGAGAGCGGAGAGGCGGCGGCTGCACACTCGCCTCTCCAAATACGCACGGGTTTGGAAACGATTAACCGGGACACAACGCTTCGTATCTGTCATTCAAACTGCCAGGATCAATAATAACACAACTACCACGTGCAAACCCGCAAAAAAGTCCACCGTTTTTTCTCCATCACCTTATTTTTGTATTTTTCCCTCCGGTCAAGCTGCTGCCTCGGTTAGCTCCACTTCCCCCGGATAAAGTCGCCAGACAAAAGGAGCGCCTGTGCATATGTCACTTCCGCTAACAAAATACCGGTCAATTTTAAAATATAAGGAAAGAAAAGGCAAAAATGGGCATGTTTAGTATCCACCAGCCTACATTCTACTACATAGGTGAGTGGAGATGCCATGTGTTTAGTTTAATGAATGATAATTACTGTAAAACTTGGTGACAGCTGCGAATCTGTCTGTGCCGCATTAAAATGTTCACGTCAACATAAGCAACTCGTCATTAGATTTGATTAATTATTTTGTTTTAACATAAAAAACACTCTATATAACTGTGTTTATTTTATACAGTGTTTCTTTTTTTTTATTTTTGCTTTTTTAAAAATTATGGTTATTTGAGCAGTTGGTACAAACATAAAGATGTACATGTTTGGGACCATTTCTGATGCTCAAAAGGAGCAGGTTGAAGTAAAAAAAACAACGTATTGTGTCCTACCCCAGTTGTTACATACATACATGCATAGATACATACATACATACATACATACATACATACATACATACATACATACATACATACATACATATATACATACATAGATACATATATACATACATAGATACATACATACATACATAGATACATACATACATACATAGATACATATATACATACATAGATACATACATATATACATACATACATAAACACATAGATGCACAGATATATTTTCGTTTGTGGTCATGCAAACTAATAATAATGATAAAGAAGGCACAAAAGCTCATCATGATTGCTATGATTGTACAAAATTAACAGTAATGAGAATGAAAACTGTCTATGCTATTGGTATTTGTAGTGTCTTATTATTTACATGTTCATTACAGCAGCCAGTCTACTGTGTGTTGTGTCAAATGTTCACACCAAGAAGAAATCAAGTAGTCATTAGAATGTATGTATTATATTAATTGAATTAACATTAAATAATATATGTCATGGCATTATCCAAAATGTGTACTGCTCTTGGAAGGCTATGTGTAATGCCTGAATGGTTTGTTCATAATTTGTCTATAAGCCACATGTTACACATCAAAATCAAGTAGTTATTAGATCGTATTCATTATATTTTTATAACATTAAAACACTGCATGCAAATGTAACAATTCTATAAATGTAATAATTTAATCTAAAATATCTATGCTCTTGGTACTTGGTTAGTATTTTGTATTTTGGTACTGTTGGTATAAAAAATAAAAAGTTTGTCTTATTTGTAATATCTTATTTATTACTGCAACAGCCAGCCAGAAAATCAAGTAGTCATTAGATTTTGTAATTTATATTGATATAATATTAAAGCAATAAAAATAAGCATGGTTATTCTCTAAAATGTATTCGTAGAGTATTTTATTGTTGAAAATAGCAGCCAACCTATACCATATATTGCCCCAAAATTTTAACACAGCAAGAAAATCAAAGAGTAATTATATCGATATTATATTATTTTAATAGATCCATGGGCCAAACGTGTACAACCGCCTATCCTGTTTCAGAGTGCTTTTTATATAAATCGAACTAGGACCGTAAATACTTAAACAGAACTATAAAATTTTTTAAAATTAATAAAAATCTATACAATCTATTAAAATCTATTAAAAAAATAACTATGATAAAATAAAAAAATTAAATAATAAAATACAAGTTTTTATTATAGATCCATGACCAGGACATAAGCGTGCAAAAGTGTAATTCTTCTAGTCTCCACAAAGGGGCGCTGTAGGAACAGGAACACGCTGCTGTAAAATCATCAACATCCGGCGACACGTATTTCCAAACAATTCAACAATCCTCCGAGGTTTCTGCAGTTTATAATCCGATTTCTGTTTTATTTACACCTCTTGTTTGTAAAATAATGTTTCCTTAAAATGGTATAAACTCCGTACGCGTAGTCGGGGATAATTTAAGTTTTTTTTCCGATGTAAACTTGTTGATTTTAGCCTATAAATCACAGTGTTTAGGTGGACTGCTGCTGCTCCAGACCAAAGTTTCAATGGGGGAAGTGAGAAAACTGCAGAAAAAGTTAAGACAGATTGGAAATTTGGAAATAAAAATCAGTCTTACACCAGAGGAGAGATTTAAGGTACAGAAATACGTTTTATTTATTATTTATTCACTGTCCTCACTAGGCTTTTGTAATGTGCACTAATGTAAAATGCAACTCAACACAAGGATCCAATAATTTCTGTTTTCACTACACAGAGAAGACACTAATAACTTGTGATTATGAGCTAACATTTTCTATTTTTCATTGTAGAAACACCAGACTGCAAATTTGTCTGATATGGTCCAGATTTTAAAACTTATATCATCTTATCCATCTTGTTTTTATATTTATTATCTGCTTACTAGTTCTAAATCGGTTGTATAATCTTAAAAATTGTCACACGTATATTTCTTCCATAACTCAACTAGTCAGAAAATGATAAATTTAGGCACTAAATGTTTAAAAGAAGCTACAAACCATTTACCATAGTCTTCCTTGTTTTTAGCTTTAGTGATACAGATTTGCTTTATACTGCCTGAAATAATTTCCCTTGTGGATTAATAAAGTTTGCCTAAGTCTAAGTCCCTACTCAAGTATGTTTATCTAAAACTTAGCAGCCATAAACACTTACCAGAGACTGATTAATTCTAGTCCAGTCTAGTCTAACTTGCCAAGTAAAATTATCTTGCTGCATGGACACATAATTTCATTATTTTAAGTAATTTTCTGATAGATTTAAGTGTTTGTATCTTAAATTTTGGCCACATTTTTGCAGTATAGAGAAACATGGCCCTAGGTCTGATTCCTAGTCTGGACGGAGTTTTTCCTGTGTCTGTATAGGTTCCTCCAAATCCACATTTCTACTTAATAATAATAGTTTTACACTTCATTGCACTACAGGTTTCTTTAATTTGATCAGATATATTTGAAGCTTTTTGATCAATAGTTCATCCTTTGTATTAGAGATGATGATTATTATTCAATATTCATATTCTGCATCAATTTAAAACAGTTATTTTTATGTTATGATAGAGATGATATGAGGTTGTTTTCAGTTCAGTTTATTTTTGTCAAGTCCCAAAATCACAACAGCATTCGCCTATTAGGTTTTAACAAGATCATTGATTTAACCAACAGAAAGAGAGAAGATCAAACATCAGACATTGGTCAATATCAGACAGGCAGATTAACAAACATTCATAGAAAACAAACAAATGGATTACTGTATCAGAACATCTCCTGTCCTTAAACCCTCCACTCTAAACTTAGCACCAAAACAAGATACTAATTTGAACAAATATAGTTATTAGTAGTAAAAGAAAACAAAATTTTACATTTCCTGAATACATAAGAACTCATAAGTTAAGACTACATAAAAACATTAAAGAAACTACTTTTATTTTAATCTGTATTTATAGAGGTATAACGATATCCAAGTCTCACAATATCGTATATTGTCATGGTATGAATTTCACAGTACGATATTTATTGCGATATCATGGGAAAGATCACGATTAGGGGTGTAACAATATCCAAATGTCTCTGTACGATATTTTCATGATTTACATCTCACGGTACGATATTTATTGGGATATTTTGTGGAGGCTTACAAACAAAACTGTGAATATGCAACTTTTTTCTCTTAAAATGCCTTTACAAGACTTAATCCAAAGAACTAAAACTTAAAAGTGCTTAAAACTGTTATTTCTTCATGTAGTCTGCACCGAAATGGAGCAAAGGATCATGGTCTATGTAGTGCCCTCTGTCTTTTTTGAGCTATTGCTGCACCATAACTATTAATTTAAGCAAAGAGACTTGTGATTTGATATATTGTGATGTTCCACGATGTTATTGTGAGAACTTTGACGATACGGTATCACGATATTTTGGTTATTGTTACATCCCTATTTATTTATTATCATGTTTATTATCATAATATTGAAAACTGTATTGGTTTTGGTTTATGAGAGTTGAACGTTTTACTTAGTATCAAAGTCAGGGTTGAATATTTTGACACTAGCAGACAATTTACTGCCCAACTCAAGGAACTAAATTTACTGAAAAAGAACTTCATTTAAAAATGTAGCTTTTAAAAACAACCTTGACATTTCTTTTCTTCCCATGGTGCATATCTAATTATTCACAATTATCCCAAACAAACCAGCTGTCATTTCCGGTTAGATTGATAAATGAAATCAGACTGAACACGTCGGTTGCAAATAAACAAATTGGATTAAGTCGATTGGTTGTGAATCTGGTGTCTCTTTCCTCAGATCTCCAGGAAGGCGGAGCTGCGTTCCAGATTGGCTGAGCTTCAGCTGCAGCTTTCTGGCCCGCAGCAAACTCCAGGGAACGAGGGAGACAGAAAAGAGGAGAAGATGAAAAGACAAGTGTAAGGAAGAGGGAGAGATGTACCACAAGGGGGGCCCGACACACAGAGAGAGACGTAATTCTTCAAAAGCAACAGCATTCACTTTGAGCTGTTTGATCTGGTTTTGTACATCTATCCAAACACGCTGCAGGTCAAATGGTGTCAGTAACAGAAAGAAAAAAAGTAAAGCGAGTCCCATAGATTTATGACTTAAAGTGTTACTCATTACCCCTGTTTAATATTTAAAGGTTTCGAGTCCTGCTAAAGTGTACTGCGGCTACTGCTGATTGTACTGTAGACTCTTGTGAGCTCTTAGCTGTTTTAAAACTGTCACCTCCTCAAATACATATCTCGAGGTGTGTTTTATTTCATTCACACATGTTTGAATAACCCTTTATCGTTCATCAGTCTGTCTGTCTACCTCCCCAAAGCTCAAAATGCTCTTTTCCACCTTTGAAATGTCATATAGTGGTAGTTTTCAAGTTAACTTTTACCTTTAGCGCAGTCGAAATAGGCAATTGTTGGAAATTATAATGATTCTAGTGAAGGTGTAGGGGTATAAAAACAGAACGGAGCACTTCTTGTATTACCACGTGACATCATAAAGTGGGAGAAAGTGTTTATGAGAACAACTCAGGCTAAATATGCAGGGTTTGTGTTTTAAACATGTGTGAAAAAAACGAAACACAACTCCAGGTATGTTTGTGATGAAGAAACATTATAACATATTTGTAGATCAGAAAATAGTGTAATATGGGCCATTTAATCTTTTAATTTTTTCATTTTAATAATCTACTTTGACATGTTTTTGATTATGAAATAAGCAAATGAATGGCCTTATTCAAATTATCGATAATGTGATGAATAATGTTTTGAAGATAAGCAGGGTTTTCAATATTGTATGTATTTTTTATTTTAATAATACAACCTACAAACCTTCAAATCTTAACATCAGATACACAAAGTAAAGGTGGTCATTGTAGAACCTTACAAATGCTGTTTAAAATTTGTCTGGTCCTTTTCATTTAGGGATGCCGTTTATCCAATGAGCCACTTTAAACTACTCTGTCAGGTTTACTAAGTACCTTTAGGTTCACTATTGCCTCGGTTTAATCTTTAAAATGTGGAGCAGTTTGATCATCTACATTTATATCCAATGAACCAGTGTAATATTAGTTTTAATCATGTAAACTAGCATTAAGTCCACAGCAAACTGGCATCCCTTATGTCCCGTAATCTGTCACAGCTCCCGAACGTCTCTCTAGGTGGCCAATAAATCAAATTATCAAAAATGTTATATGAATGTTATAGAGACAGTTTCAACGGTGGTCATCCGGACATTGTTTTTGTGAGCAACAGTGTCTCCATGAAAGACAATGTTGCTTATAATTAAAACTAAATATGCTGCAAAAACAAAAAAAGAAAGAACAAGAAAAAGGATACTCAAAGAAATGTTTTGTCACATTTTTGAAGGATTTCCAAAAAATATTCTCATTATGAGTTATTGGGATCCTCAAAACAATATTGATACTTTACATCGCGCTGGGTGGGTTCTACATGTATCTCTATGGTGGTGTGTTCAGTAGTTATCATGGAGACTCAGTGCACACATTACAGGGTTCCCACAGTCATTGAAAAAGTCATGGAAATTGAAAATGTCATTTTCCAGGCCTGAAAAAGTAATGGAATTCACTAAATTCAATGAAAGTTTTGGAAAAAGTCATGGAATTTTAGTATCTCTTTCACACAACTACAGCGTTCCGTTAAGTTGTCATTAAGCTGTTATGATTAGTTCTGAACGTCTGCGCCTTTTGATTAAAGGAGATGACAATAAATGCACTGACAGTATTTTCTAACATTTCATATTTAGCCCTAAATGTATGATCAATTCTACACATGTAGGGTGCTGTAAAATCATGGAAAATTCACTTTAGGTCATGAAAACTCATTGAGAAGTTTTGAAATATTGTGAAAATGAGTGGGAACCCTGACATTAGCAAACACTTACACATTTCCAAAACAGTTTGAAAGCACGAATGCAAAGTAGTAAGATTACTACTATTATTATTGTGTTTACTTTTGAGGTTTTGGTTTATATTGCCGAGTCAAGATGGAGTGGTCCTATATGTGCTTTTGTTTTGAAATCCGTCATTGAACTTTCGTCTGTCTTTACAGGGAGGACACCCCCGAGGCCGTTCCATCACAAATGCCTCCTGCCTCCAAGATTCTGAGGGAACAGTCCAAAACAGAAAAAAGTCCAGCTCCGAGGGCCAAGCAGAAAGACGGGAGAGGGGCAGAGGGGAGAGGGACAGAAGGATCCAGCAGACAACGTGAGGGGGCAGGTGGAGAGGATGTGGACATGGCGAGCGCTGCAGAGCCAGACTTAACAGAACAAACGAATCAGGAAGGTGAGTTATTCCCGAGTTGAAGAAGTCACAAAAAATGACAGTATCAGTATTATATTCTAACTGTCCTAAATAGCGCCAAGTACCAGCGTTTTATTTTGAACATCTGATTTTATTTTATTAGTTTTATTGCGTGTGACTGTCTCGAGGGGGCAGTTGATGTTTGCCTGAGCAAGACACATTTTTATTTTATCTTGAAACAGACAAAACTCTATTATAGTGAGTAAATCGGCATAATCGCTCATTCGTCGGCCAATTTGATAACCATCTGGAAGTCTTTTTCACTCTGAAGGTACTAGCCTAAGAAACCGGAGTAGACTTTACTGTAATTTTTATTTTTTTTAGCTTTTGAGGATCGAAAATGGAAAATTATATACATTTTTATCACATTATAGATCGATTTCTAATCTGAACTAAAAGTGTTTCTTTCACTTACAGTACATTGTAGGCACATTTATCTGCTCCTTTGGACTTTCCAGTATCATTCCCAAAAACTGGAAAAGCTTGAAAACTTAAACTGATTCTCAATTTTTCATGTGTTTTTTTAAATATATATACTGTATATATGTAAAAATGTATCACTCAAGATGGTGTTGTCTCAATATTCTCAGATTAGGGCTGCTCGATTATGGAAAAAAAATCATTATCACGATTATTCAAATGATTATTTTTTAGTTACACGATGCATTTACTTCTTTACTTATTTCTCTTGAAAAAAAAAAAAAAAGAATTTACCGTATTTTCCGCACTATTAGGCGCTCTGGATCATAAGGCGCACTGTCATTAAATGGTCTATTTTTGAACTTTCTTCCACAAATAAACCGCACCTGGACTTTAAATCGAAACACAACAGTTGGATGGGTCAGTGGGTTTTGTTTGTTTGGTGGCGTTCACGGTGACTCTGGGCTTTGTTCAGTTGTGGCGTGTAGGGAGGGTGCTGTCTGGGACCAACGGATTGTCGGCGTGTTCGCAGTGACTCAGTTGTTCAGTTGTGTCTAGAAGTGGCACATTGGACTCGCTTTTTCGGTTCGTTCCTCCGTTCCGTTCCTCGTCGGCGTGGAGTGATGAGTGTGGCTGCTGATGCTTTTCGCTGTGCGGTCGCTGTCTGCTCCGTGTGTGTTTGCGTGCGCTGCGGGTGGTGCGACTTTGTAGTTTACTGAAGTCGTGCTGGGACACCCGAGTGGATTTGTGTATGGGGCGCTCTGGATTGCGGGGCACGCAGTCGTTTTTTGATGGGGTTGGAGGCTTAAGAGCGCTTCCTATAGTGCGGAAAATACGGTATTTGCGAAGCCCGTTATTTCCATCACACTCTCTCTCAAAAAAAACCCACTTTCTTATTGATAATTTACGCAAAACTTTCAAATAGAAAATAAATATACGCTATACAGTTATGTGTCTTAGAGCAGTTTTGCGATGTATAGAACATAAAATAAATAAAATATACTTCGAACAAGAAATAAGGCATAGAAAAACATAAATGTATCCGAAATAAACTATATATCCAACTGTTCTACAATCTCTATATTTAAAAAAAAAAATGAAATAAATATACTTATTTATATAAAAAAATATCCCAAAACAATCTTTGTTAAGCTTCAATTGTTTCAACTTGATTATATGAGTTTGGAGATCGTCATTTTGGACACACAAATCGCAATTGAAATCAAAATGATTAATTAACGATAAATTGCACAACCTTATCTCAAACAGAAGCAATACATGTTTATTTAAGATTTGAAACTAGTTCAAATGAGCATCTGTTTCATTCTATCTCTGCACTCGTTTTAGTTTTGATCAGTAATTTGGCTATCAATATTTATAACTACTCTGTTTCAAGATTTGTTCATGCAACAGGCTTATGGCTAACACTGTTGCAGAAAGTTTAAACTACAATGCCGTCTCGGTCTCATTGAATGCCCTAATTTGCTATTAGCATCTAAAATCAGATTATTCATGTACGCCCCGAGGAGACTTGACAAGCTTAGTTGCTGCCAGCATTCAAACTAACAGCCACTATTTGCCTCCCTACAGACAGGACCTGTGTTTTGCCTTCCTGCAGTTTAATTGGCTGCTTTCTCCACAGTACCAGACTAATCCATATTGAAAAACCATGTAGATTAACAAGCCTGAGTGCTGATGAGTCAACACTGCTAATTGCACAAATCATTTCCTTTTACAGAAGTTGAATTTACATCCCTCAAAGCATCGTGGGAAAAGGCAAAGTTTCGCTTGAGGCTGTTGGACGGCCACAACGACATCATCACCTGCGTGGTTGCCGTTGACAACCTCGTAATTTCTGGAAGGTAAATCTGAAGTGGCTCATTTGCATAATGGATGTGCAAAGTGAATATTTCTCCTGATTTCTCACTTAATGTGCCCCTCTGCTCTCAGACAGTCATGTTTGTTTACGGTTGAATAGCGGCGCTGTACTCTCTGGTGGTTTGGGTTAAACTCCTTTTAACTCACTGGTTTATGGAGTTGTTTGTTTACTCTGGATCTGAACCGAGTCCAAGCTCCACTGGGCTGCTAACTGTGACGTCACCATCAACAGAAATATTGGAAATTTAGATGAATTTAAAACACTACCAGTCAAAAGTTTGAACGTACCATCTTTTTCAATGCATTTCTTCTTAAAGTTAACCACTTTTTATATTTTATGCACACACAGAAGACATCAAATCTATGATGCAAGATGTATGGAATTATGTATCAAAGAAAAAAAGTTGAATAATTGATCTGAATATATATATTTTTTATATTCAAATCCTCAAAGTTGCCTGTGCTTTGCTGACAGCTCTGCAGACCCTTGGCCTTCTCAGAATGAGCTTCACGGTGAAGTCTCCTGAAATGGTTTTCACGTCACAGGTGTGCAACGTCAGGGTCAAGAAATGTCAAGAGTGCAAACCAGGGTTCAAAGAAAAGCGTGGCTGTTTTTTAATATCTTAAGTCTAAAACAAGGACGGAACAAGTATGTAGTTTTATTTTTTATTTATATATTTTATTAAAGGCAACAGAATATAACATTTAACAAAATACAACAGTCAACATAAAAAACAAAACACAAAAACATAGAGCAACAGCCACGACAAATGCAAAACAACAAAAATGTCCCCATTTCTAATAAACATTTTTAGTCCCTATACTTAAACTAATATTATTTTCACCATCATCATTTCCTTTTCATCATCATTTACTATTTATTACAATTTCAAAGCATAATTTTAAAGGCATTTCCTTAATAAAGTAATAATAATAATAACACTACTACTACTACTACTACTACTACTACTACTACTACTAATAATAATAATAATTTATAATTATCTTTTTAAAAAATGTTTTCTATAAATAGTGGATTTATGAATACGTATATTTCCCTTATTAACTATTTATATATTTTAAGTTGCCACTTTAAATCCTTATGACCGAACATTTTTATATTTCTGACTTATTTTATATTAATATGAATACATCTATTTTGCTTTAGCCATAGAAATTAATTAATTAATTAATCATTGCATTTATATAGCGCCTTTCAAGATACCCAAAGCCCTACTATTGTAGCCACAGCTGCCCTGGGGCAGACTGACGGACGTGAGGCTGCCAATCTGCACCATCGGCCCCTCCGACCACCCATCTCCCACGCACACACCACTTCCAAAACATTAAAAACATTTATATACAATTATATATACAACTAAGTTTACATGAAACGGATTAGCATATAAATACGCAGATTAATTTTCTCCCGCTGTGTAAGAACTTCCCCTCTATTTTTATCCTTTTTTTTTTTTTGCTCTTTGTCTGTTTCAGTTGTATATTTTTTGTTTTTGGTTACTGCATCCATATGTGCTCATTCATAGTTTTGATGCCTTCAGTGAGAATCAGTGAGAATGTGTAAAAAATCATGGGAATATAGAAAGAAAAAGAGTGACCAAACGTTTGACTGTTCATGGGAGGGCAGGCTAAATAATATCTGCAGTTGAGCTGTTGGAATCAAATCAGAATTGCTTTAGTTATGGTTACAATTAGGATTTCGCTTTGTCTATAATTATCTAAGTTACATAATTTCCCTTGCAAACAACTAGGGATCCTGTCTTACGTTTAAAACCTGATAACCTTTTAGTTTAGACCTCTACAAACATGTTCTGAAATGGATCTGATTCTTCAATTTGTTAAGATCGGATTAAATTTTTCCCTTTAACGTGCTCCTGTATGTTTAAAAAAGAGACTCCTAGTATTAAAAAATGAAAAGCAAATCAAACCACAATCGCAGCTCTCATCAGAAAACTCATGATTTGCAGTTTTCCCCAAATCATTCAGCCCTAACGTCATTATGTTTATTTATAGAACTAATTTTGCAACAGTAAAAAAAAAATAAATAAATCAGCTATAGCTCAAAATCCTGGGGCAGGTTAAAATCAAATTAGCATTATAGTGAACACGGCTGGAATTCTGTTGGACCGGAGGGATGTGGAGTTATAACGTCATCGCTTAACAATCCAATAAACTCACACGGCAGAAACACAGACTCTTGGTGAATTGCAGAAAAATCAAAGGCCAAAACCTCTTTCACGCTTGAATAATATCTTTGACTGTGACCATTCTCGCTGTCAAAAACTATTCTATTCATAGACATAATTTAATAAGTGGAAAATAATATAGTAATTAAAGTCTGAAAGCCTCGCTAGAGCTGCCTCACAGAACATGTAATAATTTTGGAGCAAATAGTGCTGTAACTGTACTAAAAATTCATTTCAATTCTGACACAAAGGAAAAAGATTGATACACATTACCTATTATTATTATTATTAATGATTCAAAGACCCTTTTTTAAAGCAATAGACTATAAATTTCAACTAGGGATGTAATAATAACCGAAATATTGTGATGCTGTATCGTCAAAAGTGTCAGAATAATACCATGGACCATCACAATATATCGAATTACAAGTCTCTCTGCTTAAATTATTAGATTTAGTGCAGCAATAGAGCTAAAAAGAGCAGAAGGAACTACTTAGACCATGATCCTTTGCTCCGTTTCAGCGCCAACTTCTAGTACATGAAGAAATAACTGTTATGAGCACCTTTAAATCTTAATTCTTTGGATTAGGACAGAATCAAAGTCTTGTCAAGGCATTTTAAAAGGAAAATTGTGTGTGAATTGTGTGGTCCTCTGACTTTATCAGGGCAGCCGTGGGGTCTTAAAAGTCTTAAAAAGGTCTTAAATTTCATATTCCTAAATTAACGCCTTAAAAAATCTTAAATTCTGTTGTCCAAGTCTTATTTTTTTCACAAAAGTCTTAAATTTCATTAGTCTATTTTTTTGTATACTCAACCAGGCTGCAGTGCGATGTTAAACAGAGGGAGGGAAAAAAACCAACAACGTGAAATCATGTAACCTGAATGAACGTCTAATTTGGAGTATGTGCAAACAATACTTTGGTTTCTGTAAACAATGAGTAAACAATCAGTAGAGTGGAGGAAGACGTTGGATGAATCATGTGGAAGTGTAGGTTTAATCCACAGTGGTTCTTAGATTCCAGATATAGTAATTGGTTGATCATTATTAGATTTGGATCTGGTGTTTTTCACCTGCATTATGGGTGTGATGTTGGTTTTCAATTTTCATTTAAGTGGACTTAAAAAGGTCTTTAAAGGGCCCATCTCATGCAAAATCAACTTTTCAGAGCTTTCTACCTTCTAAGAGTGATGTGTGGGCCTTGTATATGTCGCTGAAGTGGTTTTTAGATTGATTTGTTGTTTTTTTAAACAAATTGCAGCGTATTTCTGCCCCCCTCCCACGTGACAACGAACTAAAGCTGCTACAATGATGACGCGGCAGCTACACCTATGACGCGTTTGACGTAGTAGAAAGCGCTTTGCACCCGCCCTCCTCCCCCGCTCCACTGTGTACACAATGTAATACGTTTATCTACTAGTGTTTATTAATACTTTACCAATCAGTAATGTTCAGCTGATGTCGACGTGGTGCTTGAGCTTCGTGCACCTCAAAGTCCTCGTCCGATGATGAATAAAAGTTTATTCCTAACGTTATCAGGGTGCACGCCTGTCTCCCCCTCCCTCCCTGAGATGGGAGGAGGAAGGGCGGCTCACTCAGAGCCTACGTCATGTTTGGAGGGCGGAGCCTGTGCTTTCTCAGGACGGGCGGGGGGTGAGCAATAGTCGGACTTTCAGTTTCATAGTTCCTGGTCTGTGACTGCCTCCAAGAAATCAGTAAGATTTCATAACTATTGTGTAATGGATGTTCCAAAACCCAAATTGTGCTTGTTTATGTGCAGAAGATACAATGTGAAAAGAGTTATTTTGCATGAGATGGGCCCTTTAAAAAGTCTTAAATTTGGGGTAGTCAAATCTGGGGTTACCCTGTTTGTTGATTTTATTGCTATTTTTCTACTTATTCAGTATTTGTAAAATGTTTTTTATTGACTTGCTTATTTATTTTATGCTTTATTTTAATGAATCTATTAATTTATATTGTGCCTACTCTGTGCAGCACTTTGGAGACTTTGTGTTGGTAAAGTGTGCTATACAAATAAAGCTGGACTGGACTGGGTTGGCAAATACAGCATATTCACAATTCTGTTAGCGTCCACAAAATATCAACGTGAAAATATCGCACCGAGAGATTTTGATTATTGTTACATTCCCTACTTTGAACACATAATACGCATAATTTATTTAATATTACCACATGACCTTACACTTCTAGTTCTAATAAATATCAAGACTTTTCAGGAAAGGTTCAATTTTGCCTCGTGAGTTTCTAGTTTCCGTATTAGTTTGACAGTGAGTTTGTGAGTAATGGGCATAAATGCAAATACATTATATAGCACATTTTATAAACAAAACAGTTGCCAAGTGCTGCAGAGGGACAGAGAACAATAAAAAATCAACAAACTGTATAACTGCTTAATTTGATCTCACTAGTCCCAAAACAATAAGACCAATTCAGTCAAATAAAAGCAAAAGCATAACGCCGTAACTTGGGAATACATAAAGACAGAATAAAAGACAAAGGTATGTATTTCTTTTTGAAGACGTTACTATGAGGTCTGCGAGGGAAACAAGATTTTTCCGGCGAGCTTTTTGATTAGATTGGAAGTTATGTTTTAATCAGAGGTAGGAAGAATAATTGACAAAAAGACGAAAATATGAACTGACAGCTAATAGTCACAATTTAGAGTACTTAAAAAACTGCAGTGATTTGCTAATTGCGTCCAGTGAAATTTTGATTCGATTGCATTTTCTCACAGTCCATTGTACTAAACCTTGGCAAGGGATAAAATCAGCAGAGACACGTATATTGTTTGTGGTTTGAGAGGTAGACTGGCGATATCATCACTTCCCATTGGGCTCATAGCTGTGTTTAATATGTTGTTATTGCAGATCCATGATACGGCCTTTTCTTTTCTTCTCTTTTTTCTTCTCTTTTTTTTTTTTTTCAGTCGAGACACTACGGTAAAGGTGTGGCATGTTCCCACGGCAACAGAGCAGAAGAACCTCGGCGGTCACTCTGGGGGGGTCACCTGTCTGTGCGCCCCCCCTCCGGAGTACTGCAAAAAACTGGGTGAGACGCGCACACACTGCCCCCTACTGTTGTATGCATGTGTGCCACAGAATATGATTATGTTGTTGTTTTAAAAAGACTGCAAATGACAAATTACTTTTACTGTTATTCACTTATTATTATAGAAAATCTTTAAATTTTATGTTCAAATTTAGTCACTGTAATAGGGCGGGGTATCATTAAGAAGCTGCCGATACAATACATACCTTGATACATAGGCCACGATACAATACATATCTCAGTACAGTGCACTTTCGATTCAGTACGATATATTTCAAATCAAATCAATTGGATATGGTTCAATAAAAAATAAAGGCTAAATCATGGCTGTGATATTAAAAGTCTTTGTTATACCACATCTTGTGCAAACTTAATATGAAACACAAATATTTTAATCCTCAAAACAGTGAAAATATCAAAGGTGTCGCATAAACAAGTTTCCTTCCTCTAAACAAGCAACAACTGTAGTGTTGTAACAAAATAATTTAGTACAATATACCAAAAAATACTTTTGGTGACACATTGATTCAAGCAGCCCATGATATTGACACTGTCATCACATTAAACAATAAGATATATCGATATTTTGATACTTTTGCACACCTCTAGATATGATACATATCTTCATCCAGTGCACTTTCGATTCAATATGATATATTTCAAATCAGTTTGATGCTGTTCAATTAAAATAAAGGCTAAATGATGGCTGTGATACATAAACTCTTTATTAAACCACTTCTTGTGCAAAATGAATATAAAACACAACAATCCGTGTAGTATTCATTCGTTTTTCAAAATAAAACCAAAAATAAGAAAATGAAAAAACAACTATTTTCTTCATTATTTGTCTCCAAAACCAAAATGAAAAAATGGGTAACGATTCGATTTGTTTTTTTAAATTTTTGTGTTTAAATGAATAATGGAAAAAATGGATAACGACCGTTTCGCATTTATTACAAATTGGCTGAATTTACTCGCCGAGCCCTGGCCATTGACATGTATGAAGAGCTGGACTTGGCCACTCTCTCCAGTTATATATAAACCTCTATGATTTTTGTAACATGTGCTCAAGCAGAAGAACAAACGGAGGTCCTAATTCATTCATTTATCCATTATCATCCATTCATAAGAAAAATGTTAGCAATAGTTTCTGTTTTGTGCACTAACATTACCACCATTTAAACTAGAGATGCTTGACCGCGGATCAAGCAGATGGTGAAAAATAATATTTACATCCAGTCTATTATCACAGTGTTTTAAATAAAAAGAACATACCTGGAATATGACACCATTTATTTATTTATTTTTTTGTGTCATCCTGTCTTTGGGTCTTAGGGTTATACTCTTATTTCCACAAAAAAGGATGTAGGTTTCCACATGGGTTTCCATCTTGCTCTTTCCAGTGGCATATACATGTTTATGTGTGTAAATGTGTCACTTCTGGGTCACGTAAACGGGAAACTGCCGTTATCCGTGTTTTCCATTATTCATTTAAACACAAAATCGAAAACTGAAAAAAACGAATCATTTCTGTTTTTTACCTCCGCCAAGGAGGTTATGTTTTTGCCGGCGTTTGTTTGTTTGTTTGTTTGTTTGTCTGTTAGCAACATAACTCAAAAAGTTATGGACCAATTTTGATGAAATTTTCAGGATTTGTTGGAAATGTGAAAAGGAAGAACTGATTTCATTTTGGGGGTGATCCGGAAGAAATCCTGGATTCTGGATCACTTTGAAATTTTAGTTAACATTGTGGTAAATGGGGACAAAAATTTTGTTTCTCAATATCTCGGTTAATTATCGACCAAACCCCATGAAATTTGACTCAGGGATGGACAATGGGATCCTCTTTCATATTCCAAAGGCTGATCCGGATCTGATCCAGAAGACTGATTTTATCGCAATTTATATAAAAAATGGGGGTAGTCCTTGGCGGAGGTCTGCGCTCTCTGACTGCTTTACTAGTTTATTTTGGTTTTGGAGACAAATAATGAAAAAAATAGTTTTTTTTTTTGTTTTCTTATTTTTGGTTTTACTTTGAAAAATTAATAAACAAATGATAGATGGATTAATCACACCCATTTTAATAATCAAAACTGTGAAAATGTCAAATGTGTAAACGAGTTTCCTTCCTCTAAACAAGCAACAAAACTGTAGCGCTGTAACAAAATAATTCAGTAAATTATAGCAAAAAATACTCTTGGTGATATTGATACAACAGCCCGCGATATCGATACTGTATTGATACGATATATCGATATTTCAATATTTTTGCACACTACTACACTACTCTGTAAACATGTTTTAAATGCATCTGATTCTTGTATTAGTTTATCGGTTTATATTTCATTCATCTGTATAGCATTAAACATATCTATTGCCATGGAAACAAGCATTTAGACTAGTTATACGCCAGCTCACAGAAAGAATGCACATTTAAGGCAGTGTTGTCAGCAATAATAATACCTGACATTATACAAATACAATATACACAGGTTTAATGTTATACTGTGGAACATAGTTAAAGAAAATAAACCTGAATGACTGAGAAATTACATTTAATATCCCCGTGGAGACGAACAGATGCCGTACCCCACACCAGAAAAATGACATAGTGCACCATACCTAAACTGAATCAAAATGGGTTATCAAATTTCACCCATTCCCAGTGTATTAGTAACGCCGTGAGGTACGCTTTTAGCCCGCGTGTTCTTCAAAGCGTGTATTTTGCATAATCACTGTGGTCTCAATATGTTGCGTCTCATCCTTTTGTTGTTTAACTTGTTTTTTTCTGTTTTCCTTCTGTCAGCTTGGTCCCTGTCTCTGTCTGACAAAGAGAGGTTTATTTTAAGTGGCTCTGCAGACTGTAATGTGAAGATCTGGGCGCTCAGTGTTGGTAAATACACTCATATTATACACATAAAAACATATCCTACTATTTACTTTCAAGTGCACGTGACAGATTTTCATGTTTTGCTTGTTATTACTTGGTTTGGTGGGATATTTATCAGTTTTACATCAGTTAAGTGGCAATTTGTGGGAAAAGAGTTGAAAAGAAAAGTAGAAAAACACAGGTTGAGTAGCGGTGAGTTCTACCTTTACGTTTGTCATCAGCAATAAAATCCAGGGACAGTTTGCATTTTCTGTCCATTTCAACCTTCAAATTTATTTTTATCAGCCAAATCAAAACTATTGGCTGATTTAGACTGTTGCTAGGTAACACCTTTATGTACATCTGATAACCATGTCCAACCAGGAACTAAAATTATATATTTCATCAAAATGACTAGGCAAGATTATTTGTAAAATCTTAAATATAGGTTAATGAAGTTTTAGTGAAAGTAGTAGTTTAACCTTGCAGTTGCACTTTAAGTTTACACATACTGCAAAAAAAAACAACAATATATTTCTATTTCAATATTTAACGTCACATCAGAGTACATATATATCCAATCCACTTTATTTATATAGCACATTTTATAAACATGACAGTTTCCAGAGTGCTGCACACACAAATTAATGAAGTAAAACACAGTAAATCCTAAATAAAAACAATAAATAAAAAGTGGTAAAATGCATAAAGCTCAAAATGATTTTAAAAAAGAAGAAAATAAATAAATAAAATTAAATAAAAGACACAGAGGACCACACAACTCAAGCGGTGTTAAAAGCCAGAGAATAAAAGTGGCTCTTATATATGTTATTGGTCAGAAGGAATTTCCAAAACAAACAAGCTATCTCAAAATCAAAATAATCTTTCCTCAAACCATATTTTATTTTATTTATTTTATTTTATTTAAATTAAATTAAATTACATTTTATTTTAATTCATTTTAATTTAATTTTTATTTATTTTTTTATTTAATTTTTAAATTTGTATTTAATTTTTAATTTTTATTTAATTTTATATTTAATTTTATGTTTTATTTATTTTTATTATTTTTATTTATTTATTTATTTTCATTTTATTTATTTATTTTTTATTATTGTTTTATTATTATTTTTTTTTTTTTTTTTCATTTCATTTTATTTATTTATTATTATTTTATTTATTTATTTTATTTCTTGTGGAATGTATTATTTTTAAGTTACAGTGTAGTGTAGAATGAGGAGCAGGCCTTGAATCACACGTCGTGGTTTGTAATGTGAAGATCTGGGCTCTGAGTGCTGCTATGAGTTACTTCACCCATGTTAATATTTTACATTTATCTCCTTAGGTAGACAGTGCCTCAAGGCTGTATGCAGCACATGAATAATAATTACACCTGTATTTTTTAGTTGTAACATGTTTACCTGGGCTACCTGCTGTTTGTGACCTGTAAATGCAATCTTTTTTTCTTCTTATGCCTGCAGGCCAGTGTGTTAAGTCTATTTACACGTTTAATGCCGTGACTGCCCTGTGCTTTGTGCCGGAGGGAGACGGCTACATCGTTACTGGATCGGGTACGTTGTTCACCGTAACTCTTACCTATATTTTGCTGCAGGTTGTACTAAAATATAATCTTGAAGGAATGTACTGTAAAAAAAAGAGCATATCTATGAATTTATACCTTTTTATTTGAAATATCAGTGTGTATGTTCACGTGCTCACCAAAAATCTGATTTCGAGTAATCTGAAAGTTTTGAAAACAATAGTTGCTCTAAAAGTCCATTGAGTGACTGACAACAGGTTTTTTTGATGCTCAGATCTCATGTCACTGCATAAAATATCAATATTTATTTGTTAATTTATTTCATTCATAAAGTATAAAAAGACATCAACAGTGTCACAACATCAAATATACAAGAAATACCGTATTTTCTGCACTATTAGGTGCTCTGGATTATAAAACGCACTGTCATTGAGTGGTCTATTTTCGAACTTTTTTCACAAATAAACCGCACCGGACTTTAAACGAAAGACAAAGTTGGATGGGTCAGTGGGACTTTGTTTGTGGCGTTCACGGTGACTCTGGGCTTTGTTCAGTTGTGGCGTGTAGGGAGGGCTGCTGTCTGGGACCGCTGGATTGTCGGCGTGTTCGCAGTGACTCAGTTGTTCAGTTGTGTCTAGAAGTGGCACATTGCACTCGCTTTTTCGGTTCGTTCCTCCGTTCCGTTCCTTCGTTCTGTTCCTCGTCGGCGTGGAGTGATGAGTGTGGTTGTGGGTGTTTTTCGCCGCACGGTCGCTGTCTGCTCTGTGTGTGTTTGCGTGCACTGCGGGTGGTGCGGCTTTGTAGTTTACTGAAGTCGTGCTCGGACACCTGAGTGGATTCGTGTATAGGGCGCTCTGGATTGCGGGGCGCGCTGTCGTTTTTTGATGGGGTTGGAGACTTAAGAGCGCGCCTAATAGCTCGGAAAATACGGTAAATGAAAAGGAGCAGAAAGAAGAGTCATGTTATGTTATTTACATCATGGTGGAGGTGTTCCGCCTGTATGTTTGTGGTGTAATATTCAGCAGTTGTCTTGGTGACACAGTGAACACAAATACAAAATGAATTTTAATAGCACCTTTTCAAGAGGCTGGGATCAATAACTAACTACACTACTGGTCAAAAGTTTTAGAACACCACTTTTTCCAGTTTTTTACTGTTCATTGTTTACTGTTGACGAAAACGTATTCTAAACTTTTGATTCATGAAAGTGTCCACCTTTGGCAGATATAACAACTGAACACACTCGTGGCTCGTTCTTTTTACAAAAGAAATCAAATATTCTTCAGAAAGTTCTTCCCAAGTCTGTTGCAGAAGTTCCCATAAATGTGTGGCACTTGTAGGTTTCTTAGTTTTCACTCTTCTGTCCAGTTCATCCCAAACCAGCTCGATGGGGTTTAAGTCTGGAGACTGCTGGACAAGCTTTACCATCTTGTTCTTTTTTCCTGAGGTAGTTTTGGCAGAGCTTGGACTTGTGTTTTGTATCTTTTATCTTTTTTGTTAACCTCTGTCTGTTCAGTTCTTACCTTTGTACCATTTCAAGCTCTTCATTGGACTTGCACAACTTGAAATGCGATAAATAAATGGAAAAATTCGGGTATTCTAAAACGTTTGACCAGTAGTGTACCTTGTGAGTGTAACTTCTAACATCTCACCTGTTGTTCCAAATAAATCTTCTTTCTTTGGTCAGATTGTGTTAAAACAAAGCTCAGATTAAAACCTAATTCAGACAGAGCAGTGTCACGTCCCCACAGCCCCAGAGAACATTTATGTCACCATCTGCAAAGCATCAATACCCTCTGTGCACATTTGTTTTATTATTTTTGATAAGCTCTTTGTTGCTGTTCTTTTAGTTTTTATTATACAGCAAGCAAAACAACCATTGCATTATAATTGGGCTGAGCAGTTAGAGGTCTGCAGCCAATCCTCTGCTAGTAAAAAGCGTGTGGTTTAGAGCAGAATTCACTGGAGGATTAAATTGGACTATTTGGGTGTTAAATGGCACTGATTAAAAGCGTGTCTGGTTTGAGATCCTGAAATCAATACCTGAAAACCTTTTATTTGCGACATTCAAATTGAAATCTATATCTTTTCTGTATCATCCAGCCCTATAATATTACAACATGTTCATTATATCTCCCATAGGGTTGTAGTCCTTTAGTCTTTTAGTTATAGTAGTTTAGTTTATTAATCGGTCGCTCTTAGTAGTTTCGTTGAAGAATTTACTTTTTGGAGATAAAATTATACAAGGAATTACACATCTCTGCCCAGGAACTATAGATAAAAATACAGTTATTGTGCAGTATCCTTGTCAAATAAATAAATAAAATCAGAAAGGAGAAAGTCAGGAGTGGATTATCTGAAGATTAGGGAGTGTGTTTAATCTTTTTTTTTGCATCAATAGTTGTTTTTGCAGTGCAGTTTGAGTCAGATACAGAGAGGTGTGTAATAGTTTTGAGAGCTTTTGCCATGCCCTCTTTCTAGTTCGACTAATCAGTTTTATTATTTATTTATTTCATTCATAAAGTATAAAAAGAGATCAACGGTGTCACAACATCAAACATACAAGAAATGAATGAAAAGCAGTGGAAAGAAGAGTTTAATCTTATGTTATCTGCCCTCTTTTCCTTTTTCAAGACAAAACAGCAACACCGATTGTTACTTTAAAATATTTCAAATCAGTACATTTCAGTTCAGGCACAATTATTAATCAATTGCAAACAGAAATCTTCACTATTATGCACAATAATTTAGTTGCAGTAGTTGCTTAGTAGTTCAATCTGCAGGACACGACCAAGAATTAGTCGAATACAGCTCTAATCACTCACATCTAGTCAGACAGGTCCATCAGCTCGCCTCACAGCTCTGAGTTTTGTCGAGTCAAGCTCAGGTGTTGTGTTCGGCTGTAATGAGCACCAGGAGGCTGCTGGCGCTGTTTAACCCCCAAACTCTGTCACATCAGACGCGGGCAAAGTCCAGGCCTGGAGCTGGGACTCGTTTGAGAACTGTCAGTCTGTCAACGCTCACGAAGACGCCGTCACCTCCATACAGGTCAGTGGGCTTTTACCTTCTGGAAAGACCAGGACGGAACGATTTCACAAAATTGGGGAATTGGTGACAAGTGCTGCATTTTGATTTGTGGTTTATGTTACAGTAATAGGATTCTGTTTAAAAAAAAAAACTGACGAAAAGACAAATATGAACTGACAACTACTGTATTTTCCAGACTATAAGTCGCTCCGGAGTATAAGTCACACCAGCCAAAAAATGCGCAATGAAGAAGAAAAAACATATAATATATAAGTCACACCAGACTATAAGTTGCACTTTTTGGGGAAATGTATTTTATAAAATCAGAGACCAGGAACTGACATTTGATCTTGAAAGGCAAGTTACAGTAAAAACAACAGAACAGAGAACAACAGACTGAACAGGCGTTAATATGTTAATGTAACATATTAACAGTTATTCAGATAATTAAAGCATAAACAACAGAACATAAGTTTACCAAACTCACGATCTCACTCCAAATCACTAAATCCACTGAATTCTTCATCCTCTGTGTCACTTCTGCGCGACCTCCGGAGATAAATCATAGATCCATGATGTAAACAGAGCGCCGCTTCCTCTTCTGTGTCGCTGCCGTCAGACTCAGCGTCAGTTCCAGTTCCAGAATTATTCCGGCCTTTCTGAATCCCGACAGGATGGTTTCGGTTGTCATTGAAGTCCAGGCTTTGTTGATTCATCCAGTGACTTCCAGGAAAGTTTCATGGCGCACCCTCTTGGTTGCCGTGAAGCTGTGTTCTCCATCTTCGCTTTAAACCAGTCCCTTACAAGTTTCTCGCTCACTTTAAACTTTCTTTCTGCTGCTCGATTACCGTTTTCAGGTGCATATGTCACTATTTGTAGAAAGACAGCAGCTTTTTCTACAGGAGACATGCGCAGTAGAGCGAAGTGACAGTGGTACAGGAGTAATAGTAGTAGTAGTAGATACTGACACACAAGCCTAGAGCTTCTCGCAGCTGTCAGTCTGAACATTTTAATATGTAAGTCGCACCAGAGTATAAATCGCAGGAAACATCCAAACCATGAAAAAAAGTGTGACTTATAGTCCGAAAAATATGGTAATACAAGAATCACATTTCAGAACATGTTTGTGCAGAACTAAACTAAAGCTTTCACAATTTTTACGGCGAATAAAACCATATATCTTGTTTCTGGAGGAATTTATGGATTTATGTATTTGCCTATTGCATCTATTCAAATTTCGATTCAATTATGATTATTCTTGCAGCTCTACTAGACACTGCGCTTTCTATACTGCCCATTTCTCACACCAATCATCATTCATCTGCTCGTACAGTAATAACATGGTGATAGGATGGAAATGGCATGGTAACTAGGGTACGCAGTTTGCCCCGTGTTTGCATATTAATACCAGGAAAATGGTAAGAACGTGCAAAATAAAAATAACAGATAGCTCAATTATTCAGTTTAGACCTTTGCAAACATGTTCTGAAATTAATGTGGCTCTTTAATTAGTTTAGTTAGTTCCATATTTATATCTCTCACTGAATTGAAAACTGTTTTTTAAAACATAATCTGCAAATTAAGTCACAATACTCATTTTTTTCCTCAGAATTAAGCAGCCCAAACATGTTTCTTGGTAATTAATCTACCAAAGTTGATGGGCAATTGGACATTTGCTCTTTGTTATTTACAATGTGAAGCAATTTGGAGACTTTTGAGACATTTGATTGGATTGGAAAACAGTGTGACCCAAGTTTAAATCTAGACCGTCATCTGCTTTATCCCTGTTGAAAAAGGAACAAAACCTACTAATATATTCTTTAAAGTTCCTATACAGAAAGTTAACTCCTGAAAGCGTTATAATGTTGTTACCTCCTCAAAATGATTTATCTGTTTACATTTTCAAAGCTCAAAATGCTCTTTTCTACCTTGTGATGTCATGTTGTGGTAGTTTTCAAGGTAACATCTCTTTTTACCTTTTGTTCAGTAGAGATTTGTGATTCCAGGGGTGAAATTACCCGAATGTAATGGAGTTTAGACACAGTGGAGCATTTCCTGTACTGCCACATAACATCACAAAGTGTTTTTTGTCCGCCTAAATATTACATACATTATAACATAACATTATAACACAGATTATAAAACCGTGTAATATTGGCTCTTTCAGTTATTGATTCTAAAATACTTTGTACCTTCCATGCCTGGTATTTATTTTTTGTTGTTTTGTTGTTTTGGAGTGCTGCCTAATGGATAATGAGGCTAAAAACCCTTTTAATGAACTCATCGTTTTGGTTGATTTAACATAAAAGCTTGCACCATTGTCATTCTCGTTTCAAAGGAGCGTTGAAGCAACGTATGTTTTAAAACAGCTGTACACGCCGTTCTCTGCCCCTCGATAAAGACTCTGATCTCCATGACGACGGTGTGTGTGTCTGTGTGTGTCTGTGTGTGTCTGTGTGTGTGTCTCTGTGTGTGTGCTGTAGTCTCAGGGCCCGCTGGTGTTCTCCGGCTCGGCGGAGGGGGGCGTGTCTGTGTGGGAGAACCGCTGCTCGGAGCGGGACCCCCTCAGGCGACTGAGCCACTGGAGCGGGGGTCTGACGGGCTGCGGAGGAGGCCCGGGGGGCAGGCTCTCCCTCAGTCCCAGAGGAGACACCGTGTACCTGGCTTATGGGCAAGCCTGGCTCAAGGTCCTCAACTGGAGAACAGGTGACGTAACTGGATATGCAAAGTGTGTTTTTGCATAATAACACAAACAAACCGGCACATGACACCTGTAGGAGCCAAAAGTTATCTCGTCCAATAATCATACATTTTACTTAAAGGACTCATATGACTCTATTTTTTGATATGTTCTAATGTTGTTTCCCCATCAAAAACACACCTGGAGTTGTGTTTGGTTTCATTCACACATGTTTAACACCACACAAACCCTGCATATTTAGGCTGAGTTCACACTCTGTTCCACCTTGTGATATCATGTGGTAATACAGAAAGTTCTCCACTGTCTTTTTAAACCCCATACACCTTCACTAGAATAATTTGGATAATTTCAGACCTGGAACCGCCAATCTCTACTGAACTAAAGGTGAAATGGAGCTGTTAACTTACCACTTTGTGACACCACAAGGTTGAACAGAGCATTTTGAGTTTTGGAGACTAATAATTAGGGATGTAACAATAACCTTAATTTCATGATATTGTCTCACAATAATATTGTGGACCATTACAATATATCGAATTAAGTCTCTTTGCTTAAATTAAGAGTTATGGTGCAGCAATAGCTAAAAAAAAGACAGAGACAAAGATTACATTTCAGTGTAGACTACAAGAAGAAACAACAGTTCTAAGCACTTTTAAGTCTTAGTTCTTTGGATTAAGTCTTGTCAAAGCATTTTAAGAGGAAAGAGGTTTTGTTCGCCTCCACAAAATATCGCAATATATATCGTACCGTGAGATGTATATCGTGAAAATATCGTACAGAGAGATTTGGATATTGTTACATCCCTAATCGTGAGCTTTCCCACGATGTCGCAATAAATATCGTACCGTGAGGTTCATACTGTGATGATATCGTATCGTGAGACTTGAACATCGTTACACCCCTATCAAATAATAAAGGATCAAACGTGTGAATGAAACCAAACGCTGCTCTAGATATGTTTTGATGTGGTAACAGCATTACGACATGACTAAAAGCTCACAAGAGTCAATTTTGCATAATCAGAGTTAAGAGTTAAGAGCGATTACACAAGCAGTAGAACAAGGTCATGAGAAATACAGAAAATATTGAAATGATATTAAGATTATGAACCTGTTTATTGTATTGAACATGGATTATGGAATTGTACATTTAAACATTACATAAAACCAATATTACACAATGTTATAACCAGAAATGGAGGAGAACTTACTGGTTTTGCTTTGGTGCTTATTTGTCCCATAATGCTTTGTGAGGTGATGTCACAATCTTTATTTTTAGCAGCTGTGAAAAGCGCGATCGGGAAATTCATTGTTCTTGAAATATACCAGAAAATCCACATATCGCCAGCCTTATAGCACACTGCCTTTTTTTTTGTTGTTGATAAAATTGAGTTTTCTTTCCGCTCTCCAGACCCTGCTGAATCTGTTGGTGTCGTTGGCTCTCTCCTCGGCTTCTGCCAAACTAAAAGAAAAAAAAAAAAACTCAAACAGCCCCTGTGATCTTGTAGTTATAGTCAGTATATGTTTGTATTTTCGCCCAAAACCTTGAACATTTACTTGGTCGATTTTGCTGCGAGGCTCATGACGTTGAACCACTTTTATTTTATTTGGGGTCAGGTCAACATCTGACGGTGAAAACGCTGAACTACCTTCCTTTTTTCTTTTTTTTTTTTTATGTGGATGTGATCAGAAAATATAAGAAAAGATAAGAGAACCTTTATTTGTCCTAGAATGGCAAATTACACGGTTGCAATGAACAGTTCAAGAACACCCTGAGAAGAAAAATGTTAGAAAAATATACAGAAATCTAACACAACACTGAGCAGACAGAGCAAAATTATAAGGCTACAATATTATTATGTACAATACGTGGCTGTGTATATGATTATGCACAGCGCAGCATATGGATAGAATAAATAGCAGGAAAAGTGACTGTGGAGAATTCATAAGAACCACACACCAGGACTAAACAGCTAAATTATTAAAGTTAAAAGACAAAAAAAGTACCATAGAATTCTCACTTATCCTCCAATTCAATTTTAAACTATGGGAGGTTTAAAATGTTATGACGCGGTGTGAAGGAAACTCATTTACATAATACATGAAGCTAACATCTGTCCAATTATCCCAGGAGTGATGTCCAAGCTGACCAATCACAGCAGCGTCGCCGGGGTAACAGATTGTGTGCACCAGACGGGAGGCCTCCTAATTGGCTCCTGCTATGATCTGACGAACGGAGAGAGCACGCTCAACTGTGAGTCTGATCTTCAGCCATTTGTCTACACTGAAAAACTGACAGTCCTACACGGCTCGAATGACTTAAAGACGGAATATATTGTCTCAATTTGATGTGTTGTTTTGACTAGTTTTGATGTATTTCACAAAAATGGTGTATCAAAGACTTGAAATGGAAATAGAAAAAATAATCAAAATCAGTCAGAATTACATTTAAAGGGCCCATCTCATGCAAAATAACTCTTCACATTGTATCTTCTGCACATACACAAGCACAATTTGGGTTTTGGAACATCCATTACACAATAGTTATGAAATCTTGTTGATTTCTTGGAGGCATCACAGACCAGGAACTATGAAAGGCCGACTATTGCTCATCCCCCTGCCCGTCCTGAGAAAGCACAGGCTCCGCCCTCCAAACGTGACGTAGGCTCTGAGTGAGCCGCCCTTCCTCCGCCATCTCAGGGAGGGAGGGAGAGACAGACGTGCACTAGGGGTGTGCAAAAATATTTAAATATCAATATATCGTATCGTACAATTTGATGTTACAGTATTGATATCATGGGCTACTGTATTGATATATCGTCAAGAGTATATTTTTGGTTTATTTTACAAAATTATTTTGTTACAGCTACAGTTTTGTTGTTTGTTTAGAGGAAGGATACTCGTTTATGTGTTTTGATGATTAAAAGAAGTGGTTTAACAAAGTAACTTTTAGTATCACCATTATTTTTTATTGAACCGTATCAAATTGATTTGAAATATATCGTATAGAATAAATTAAAAATAATAAATTCACTATATCGAGATATGTATCGTATCGGCAACTTCTTAATGATACCCAGCCCTAGCGTGCACACTGATAGTGGTAGGAATAAACTTTTATTCATCATGGCGATAGAGCGCTTTCAGCCACATGTGTTGGACCCGGAATCGGACGAGGACTTTGAGGTGCACGAAGCTCAAGCACCGCATCAACATCAGCTGAACATTACTGATTGGTAAAGTATTAATAAACACTTGTAGATAAACATATTATATCGTGCACTGCAGTGTAGAACAATGAGCTTATGCTGTCGCTTTTGTTTAGGTGTTCAGGTGGGAATTGTCAGTCAATGCGTGGTGGAGGCGGTGGAGCGGGGGAGGGGGGCGGATGCGAAGCGCCTTCTGCTACGTCAAATGCGTCATAGGTGTAGCTGCCGCGTCATTGTTGTAGCAGCTTTAGTTCGTTGTCAAGTGGGAGGGTGGCAGAAATGCACTGCAATTTGTTTAAAAAACGCCGAACCAATCTAAAAACCACTTCGCCGACATATACAAGGTCCACACATCACTCTTAGAAGGTAGAAAGCTCTGAAAAGTTGATTTTGCATGAGATGGGCCCTTTAAAGGTGCATTATATGACTTTTCTGAGGGATGGTCGGTTACAGTACCTGCTTTTCTCCATAGATATAGATTTCAGATGTTATTGCTTTGCCTGGAATGTTCCACAGTATGGCATTTAAGCGTAATTGAATAAATCTTCTAGGCAAAGCAATAACATCCCCATGGAGAGAAGGTTAAGGTATTTCAAGGTTCAAGCTTCAGGGAGTCTTTATTATCCCCGTGGGGCAATTTGGTTTGCAGCAGCAGCAGTAGCAGCAGCAGTACACAACACAACACAACACATCCAGACTAGACACACAACAACACAAATAATAATAACAATAGATACAGTATCAATTCGAGTGGCTGGTTTAAAATACCAATGGCACCAAGAGTGAACTTGTTGCAGACAATAAGGAGACAGACCCTCCACCAGGAAATTATAGCGCACCTGTAAACTAAATAAATTAAAACATCTTCTAAATTCAGGGTTCCAACGGTCATGGAAATCCTGGAAAAGTTATTCAAGAATTGTGTAAATACAGTGAAAGTTTTGGAAAAGTCAAGGAATTTTAGTATCTCTTTCATGCAACTACATCGTTCTGTTAAGTTATCATTAGGCTATTATGATTATTTCCAAACGTATGCTCCTTTTAAAATAGATTACAATTGCAGCCCACTATTTGGATTAATTACAAAAAAGCCAGTTTGCAAAGACAGTAGGTGCCCAACAATGAAGCTTTGTGGTGCTTTTGAGGAGGCCACAATGGATGAGTGCGAGGGAGATGTTTGTTACTGCACGAGTGAACACTCTGCAAAGCTGCACTCAGAATTTTAATGTACAGTTTTATTAATAGGCTGAACAAATCGGACAATGAATTAATAATGTCAGTCACAAATTTCAGATTCAGTGCAATAAGAAGTCAGTCCAATATGTGAAGACACTGGTATGGTTCTTTTAAAAACTTAAATTTGTTGTTGTGTATTGTCACTGTCCTTGTCTGTTTTAAAAATGGATCATGAGTCTGAAATGATGATGAATAAATGCATTTAGGGGACAATTTAGGGGACAATTAATGACAGTTAGGGGTGTAACGATATACAAGTCTCACGATACGATATCGTCACGGTATGAAGCTCACGGTACGATATTTATTGCGATATCGTGGGAAAGCTCATGATTAGGGATGTAACAATATCCAAATCTCATAGTACGATATTTTCACGATTTACATATCACATTATGATATTTATTGCGATATTTTGTGAAGGCTAATATGCTACTTTTCTCTTTTAAAATGCCTTGACAAGACTTAATCCAAAGAACTAAGACTTAAAAGTGATTAGAACTGTTATTTCTTCATGTATTCTGCACTGAAATGGAGCAAAGGATCATGGTCTATGTAGTTCTCTGTCTTTTTTTTTAGCTGTTGCTGCACCATAACTCTTAATTTAACCAAATAGACTTGTGATTTGATATATTGTGATGGTCCATGATATTATTGTGAGAATTTTGACGAAACGATATCATGATATTTTGGTTATTGTTACATCCCTATTGACAGTATTTTGAATGTTAAAAAACTATAATACCAAACCATAAAGTGAGTGGAAAGGGTTAACATTTCATTTCATAAAAAAATCATGGAAAAGTTTTTAAATTTTGTCAGTGAAAAAGAGTGGGAACCCAAGTAACTCACATTTTTCCGAGTGTATGTGAAGGGAAATGAAACTAACCATATTGACATTATATTGGTTTGCTTTCAGTGTTCTCCCTGCCTCAGTGCCGGTACCTGACCTCTCTGACCTGGCCTGACGCGCCCAGAATCCTGTGTCTGGCCTCGTGGACCACAGGCAGCGGCGACCATCGCTGGGTCACCGGGGGTCGTGACCTTGTCGTGTGGGAGCAGCTGCCCTCGACTGGAAGGCAAAAGTGTGTACTGCAACTGTCAAAAGTCTGCACGAAAACTCAGCCTAAAAGCTCAGCAAATATGGTTTTAATTAGCATATTTAACTTGAACTGTACAGCAGATAGATGAATATGCTAGTTAGGGCTGCGAGATTAATTGCCGTCCATTTGAAATTGCAGTTTGAATTGCAGTTGCCAAATGGCTGCAATTATTTAAGTAATAATCAACAAAAGATCCTGCGTCTATTGGGTGTTATGATAAATCCTGCTATTCCTGTAGTTGACACTTTTACAAACATGTAAATGTGATTCATTAATTAGTGTAGCAGTTCATTCCAGTTTACTCTCAGATGCTAATGCCTCCAGACGCGTCTAAAATATGCACTGTGAAGTGAATTTTTATTTTTTATTTTTTTTTAACAAATCACAAAACTAGTCACAACCGCAAAGATTGCATAAGAAATCATTTAACCCCAAAGCTAGAATTTATTAAGATGATAAAAGTTGACTGGCATTGTTAATTTCATCATTCAGTCTTTATTTATTTTTGAGGATACAGTTGCGGTAGCCAGGCTGGCGCCACCTAGTGCCTCCGCTCAGTTTCATTTCACTCCAGTGACCACGTCAAGAATCTGAATATACTAAACCAGACTTGTCAAACTCAAGCTCGGGGGCCAAATTTGGTCCACAATATAATTATATTTGGCCCGTGAGATCATAATAAAATATGTATCAGAGCTGCCTGCCGGCTACAGATAGGCTGCAGAGACATTATTTATTTAAAATTTTGTTTTTATTTATATTATGCTTGTTCTGGTTTCAGTGTTTAAGCAAAAATATTACTAAACATTTATTTTAATAAGAAAAGGTTTAACATTACATATCTGGAAAGATGAGAAAACATGCAGATGTTGAAATTTTTCAGTAAATATTTAGTTTGGCCCACAACTTAGTCACAGTTTTTAATTTTGGTCTTCTGTGAATTTCACTTTGACACCCCAGCAATAGACGGTTCACAAAAACCCTGGAAGTTTGAGTCCGGGCACCAGCCAATCAGCGAAGAGCCATACATTCTGTGATGGCAACGATTCTGGAGATCGAGGATTTAAAGCCGGAACAAAGAGAATATTTGGTGAATTTTATCAAGGAGAAAGACGTTATTGCCCTTCTTTCTACGGGATTTGAGAAAAGCTTAATATACCAGTTAGCCCCATTAGTGGCGCATTACATACGTCACGACCAAATAGCAGCGATTGGTTAAATGAAGAAAAGTACCCACCTACCGTCGAGTGAACAAATCCTAATGCTACGAGGTCAGACGGTTTCTACGAAGTGAAACCGGCTGCTGAATCAGGCTACAGTTGCGGTGTCTTGATTGACTCAAATGTCAAAATTACAAGAGGGGACTGTTTGTAGTATGGCTGTAACAATAACCAAAATATTGTGATATCGTATCGTCAAAAGTCTCACAATAATATCGTGGACTGTCACAATATATCAAATCACTAGTTCCTTCGCTTAAATGCATGGTTTTACAGTAGCAACAGCTAATAAGCAAACTACACATCCCATGATTAATTTCAGTGCAGAAAACATGTATAAATATGTTTTTTACTTGAATTCTTGGGATTATGATGGAAATAATTCACACCAAAATCTTGTTGAGGTTTTTTAAAAGCAAAAAAGTGTCATATCTACAATTATACAAGCCTCTCCAAAATATCGTACCGTGTGATGCATATCGTGATAATATCATACCGAGAGATCCCTAGATCCCTGGTTTGTAGTTTTCAGATTCTCAGATGTGTCGTCATACTCACAAATAGGGGCAAGAGCCAGTTTTTCCCTATGGATTATATTATACTTTTCCTCCATGAAATATTCAAAAGGTAAATGCACATGTTGAACCTGATCATTAGTGACTAGACCCAAAACCTGGTCACACTGCAACAAGGATCAGCATTTTAACAATATTCATTTGTATTTAATATTTTAGGCCTATGGAATGTTTTTTAAACTTCATCCTCCTCCTTTTGAGCACCAGGTCCCAAATATGTTCATGTACATATCAAAATTTTGGATATTGTTTTTGAATTTTGTTGTACCTGGCTCAAACTAATAAATAAGTGAATGAATGAACGAAATGAATGTTAGCCAGGCTGCCGCCACCTTGTACTTCTGCTCAATTTCATTTCTTTCCAGCGACTAGGTCAGGAATCAGAATACACTAGACGGTTTGCAAAAATCCCGGAAGTTGTAGACTGCGCTCCGACCAATCAGTGAAGAGCTGTGAAGCCATGACATCAAACTTGTTGTGCCTGTCTGTGTCCCTTTTATGGTACAGCACAACAGTAAACAAAAGCGGTTGAAATGGATGTAGACGAAGACAGACATTCTGTGTTGGCAACGATTCCCGAGATCGAGGATTTAAAGCCAGAACAAAGTTTGGTGAATTTTATCAAGAGGAAAGACGTTATTGCTTTTCTTCCTATGGGATTTGGTGCATTACATACGTCACGACCAAACAGCAGCGATTGGTTAAATAAAAAAAGTACCCGCCTACTGTCGAACTAACGAATCCTAATGCTGCAAGGTCAGACAGTTTCCACAAAGTGAAACCGGATGATGAATCAGACTAACAGAATGTTACGATGCCAATAAACACCCAACAATTGTTATAATATAAAGAGTCCCGTTGTATTTTTATTAGAAATATCTAAAATAAATTCACAAAAGTTTAACCTGATTTCTATTCGTGACTAAACCCAAGTTTTCACGCTGGATTTTAACAATACAGTGGAAAAAAGCTTGGCCAAAATTTAAGTTATAACCACTTAAATCTATTAGAAAATGATTTAAAAGTAGTAAAATTATCTGTCCATGCAGCAAGATCATTTTACTTAACAAGTTATCTTAAAATAAACTACCTCAAGACTAGAATTAAGCATCTCAGAATTAGTAAGTAGATAATAAATCTGGAAACAAGATGAATAACCTGATATAAAGTTTTAAATCTTGGCCAGATCAGAGAAATTTGCAGCGTATTAATTTAAGTGCCCTCATTTGTTTTGAACATCGAACACATTTTATCATATGGATACAGACTTTTACAATAACGTTTCCGTGTAATTATTCGCAGAGGTGACGTGACGGTGAGGAGAAACCACGGACTGGATTCCCTGCTGGAGTCGGAGGGGGACACCGAGGACGAGGAGGAGACGGACGGTACGGAGATCACGCTTTACGTATATGTCTTTTTGGTGATTGTTTAAACTTAATCTTTCGTTCAAACGCAGACGATGAAGACGACGAGGACAGAGGGAAAGACAGCGGATTCGAAGAGTCGGAGGAGAGCGGGTCCGGCGTGTGGTCACGATGTGTTCTTCAGTGACTGGACTGAAGGGGGAGATGTGAGCGGAGAGCAGCGGGGGAGAGAAAGAAAGGAAGGAGAGAGAGAGAGTGAAGAGGAGGAAACTGAGCAAAGAGCAACAGGGGAGAGAGGTAAAGGAGAGCTGTAGAAGGGGGGCAGGGAGAAAGAAAAAGAACGAAAGAACGAAGGGAAGGTGGGGTAGAAAAGGGGCACAGAGAAAGAAAGAAGGGAGAGTGGAGGGGAGGGGTAGAGAAAGAGTGAAGAGAGAAGGAAACTGAGCAGAGAGCAACAGGAGATAGAGGGAGTGGTAGAAGGGGGGCAGGGAGAAAGAAAATCGAGAGAGGGAGCAGTTGAGGGGAGGGGTAGAAGGGAGGAGAGGGGGCAAGGAGAAAGAAAGAAAGAAAGAAGGAAGAGAGGAGGAGGAGAAGGGTAGAGAGACAGAGTGAAGAGAAGACGAAACTGAGCAGAGAGCAGAAGAGAGAGAGGAAGGGGTAGAAGGGAGGGAGAAAGAAAGACGGGAAAGAGAGGGAGGTGAGAGAGGGTGAGGAGAGGAAGATGAGAGAAGAGAGGAGGAAACTGAGCAGAGAGCAACGGGAGAGAAGGAGCAGTAGAAGGGGGGCAGAGAGATAAAAAGAAGGGAAGAGAGAGGGAGCAGGGGGAGGGGAGGCAGGGAGAAAGAAAGAATGGAGAGAGAGGGAGGTGAGAGGAGGGGAAGGAGAGAGAAAGAATGAAGAGAAGAGGAAACTGAGCAGCGAGCAACAGGAGAAAGATGGAGTTGTAGAAGGGTCGGGCAGGGAGAAAGAAAGGAAGAAGGGAGAGAGAGAGAGAGTGAAGAGAGGAGGAAACTGAGGAGAAAGCAACGGGGAGAGAGGGAGTGGTAGAAGGGGGGCAGAGAGAAAGAAAGAAGGGAAGAGAGAGGGAGCACGGGGAGGGGAGGCAGGGAGAAAGAAAGAAAGAACGGAGAGAGAGGGAGGTGAGAGAGGATGGGAAGGGGGGAGAGAGAGAGAAGAGAGGAGAAAACTGAGCAGAGGGAGAGGTAGAAGGGAGGAGGGTGGGGCAGGGAGAGGAGAGAGAGAGAGAGAGTGGGGGAGAGATGAGGAAACAAAGAGGGGGAGAGTGGGAGGCAAGAGAAAGAGGAGAGAGAAGAGAAGAGTGGGAAAGAGAGAGAGAAGAGAGACAGGAGGAAACAGCAGAGAGCAACAGGGGAGAGGGAAAGAAAGAAAGAAAAAAGAGAGAGGAGGGGAAGGGGAGAGAGAAAGACTGAAGAGATGAAGAAACTGAGCAGAGAGCAACAGGGGGATGGGGAGAGATTGGAGAAAAGGAGAAATAAAGGAGGGGAGACTGAGGTTAAGAGAAGAGAGGGGGACGGAGGGAGGGGAATTAGAAAGGAGTGCAGAGGGAGGGAAGAGATGGAGGGGTAGAGTGAGAAGAAATGAAATAGGAGGGGAGAAGGAGGGGACTGACAGTTATAGAAAAGGAGTAAGAGATAAAAAAAGAAAAGAGTGCGAGAGGGGTTAGCGGGGAGTAGAGCGAGGATGTGGGAGGGAGTGATGAAAAGAGGAGAGAGGGAGGGAGGGAGTAGAGGAGGAGGAGGAGGAGGAGGAGAGAGGTGGAGCTCAGTCTGTCAGTGCTGGAAGCTGTGAAACTGCGTGTTTGACACATGATCTGTACATACAATATTTGGATTATTAAACGGTCGCTATGTGACTATCTCAGCCTCGTACTTCCTCTGAGGTGTCGTTTTTAACCGCGGCTCTAAAGCTCCCGTCTGGAACATGCTCTCCTCATGGGTTAAAGCGACTCAGTGCAGTTATAATTGAACCTGTCTGTGAACACACATCATATCACGCAGGGTCATTCTGGGTTACCGCAAACTGGTTTTAGTCGTACAGCATCTGGCAACTGAAAGTGAGGAGAGCTCTCGGCTTTCTGCTTGGATAACTGGCTCGTGTATCAAAGCCTGAGCTGCTCGATTATGGGAAAAAAAATCATTATTACGATTATTTTGGTCAATATTGAAATCACGATTATTCAAACTCTCAAAAAAAACTAAACAAAACGCTTTGTTATTGATCGTTTACGCAAAACTTTCAAACTGAAAATAAATATAGGCTACATATATGGACCTTAGAGCAGGGTCCCAAACCCCTGGGCCGGGGACCAGTACTGGGCCATGGGTCATTTGGTACCGGGCTGGGATGTGCTACTAAACCAGGACTAAACCAGGTCTAAAATGGGTCTAAAACGGGTCTAAAACGGGTCTAAACAGGTCTAAAACAGAACTAAACCAGGTCTAAAACAGGTCTAAAACGGGACTAAAACAGAACTAAACCAGGTCTAAAACAGGTCTAAAAACTAAAACAGGTCTAAAAACTGTCTAAAACATCTAAACAGGCTAAACAGGTCTAGGTCTAAAACAGGTCTAAAAACGGACTAAAACAGGAAAAAAACTAAAACAGAACTAAACCAGGTCTAAAACAGGACTAAAACAGGTTAAAACAGAACTTAAAACATCTAAAACGGGACTAAAACAGGTCTAAACACTAAAACAGGTCTAAAAACGGGACTAAAAAGAAACTAAACAGGTCTAAACCAGGACTTAAACAGGACTAAACAGAATATAAAAACGGACTAAAACAGGTCTAAAACAGGTCTAAAACGGGACTAAAACAGAACTAAACCAGGTCTAAACCAGGACTAAAACAGGTCTAAAACAGGTCTAAAACAGAACTAAACCAGGTCTAAAACAGGTCTAAAACGGGACTAAAACAGGACTAAAACAGGTCTAAACCAGGTTAAACAGGACTAAACAGGACTAAAACAGGTCTAAAACAGGTCTAAAACAGGTCTAAACCAGGACTAAAACAGGATAAAACAGGCTAAAAACAGGTCTAAAACAGGTCTAAACCAGGACTAAAACAGGTCTAAAACGGGTCTAAAACGGGTCTAAAACAGGTCTAAAACAGGTCTAAAACAGAACTAAACCAGGTCTAAAACAGGTCTAAAACGGGTCTAAAACAGGACTAAAACAGGTCTAAAACAGAACTAAACCAGGTCTAAACCAGGTCTAAAACGGGTCTAAAACGGGTCTAAAACAGGACTAAAACAGGACTAATACAGGTCTAAAACAGGTCTAAAACAGGTCTAAACAGGTCTAAAACAGGACTAAACAGAACTAAAACCAGGTCTAAAACGGGTCTAAAACGGGTCTAAAACGGGTCTAAAACAGGACTAAAACAGGACTAAAACAGGTCTAAAACAGGTCTAAAACAGAACTAAACCAGGTCTAAATCAGGTCTAAAACGGGACTAAACCAGGTCTAAAACAGAACTAAACCAGGTCTAAAACAGGTCTAAAACAGAACTAAACCAGGTCTAAAACAGGTCTAAAACGGGTCTAAACAGGACTAAAACAGGACTAAAACAGGTCTAAAACAGAACTAAACCAGGTCTAAAACAGGTCTAAAACGGGTCTAAAACAGGACTAAAACAGGACTAAAACAGGTCTAAAACAGAACTAAACCAGGTCTAAAACAGGACTAAAACAGGACTAAAACAGGTCTAAAACAGGTCTAAAACAGAACTAAACCAGGTCTAAATCAGGTCTAAAACGGGACTAAACCAGGTCTAAAACAGGTCTGAACTAGGTCTAAAATCAGGTCTTAACCAGGTCTCAAACAGGACTAAAACAGGTCTAAAACAGGTCTAAAACCAAGACTAATCCAGGTCTAAAACCAGGTCTAAAACCAGGTCTAAAACCAGGTCTAAAACCAGGTCTAAAACAGGTCCTCCCCCCCGATTCATTTCATATTTAACACGCACACATTTAGAGTTCTTCTCTCAAATAGAAAATACTCTTTCGCACCTCGTGATGTCATGTGGCAGAGGTGGGATCAAGTCGTTGTTTTGCAAGTCTCAAGTAAGTCTCAAGTGTTTGACCTCAAGTCCGAGTCAAGTTCCAAGTCAAATACAGCCAAGTTCAAGTCAAGTCCTGAGTTACTGGCCCATAAATCCAAGTCAAGTCCAAGTCGTCTGCTTTGAGCTTCAAGTCTTTAAACCAAAAAAGCACCAAATATATCTTAGATTTTCCTATTTATATGACTTTTAACCTAAATTTTACTTAAAAGTCATGGTATATTTATATACGCTTTGTAGAAATGCAGTTTTTTTCCCTTTTTAAATGTATTAACAAGATGTTTGTGTGAATCATTACGGTCAGAACAGAAAAAATTTAGATTTAAAAGTGCTTAATAGGTTATTTTGTTGTGTAGTCTGCACTGAAATGGAAGGATCATGTTCTTTGTAGTTCCCTCGGTTTTACTGTATTGTACTGTATATTACTGTAGTATATTTCAGTATACTATATCACACTACTTCAGTTCCATCCAAATTAACAAACAGAAGTGGGAGTGACATGTTCCAGTTTGTTCCTGCACAGAAGAGGAAGCAACACTCTGTTTACATCATGGATCTATGGTTTATCTCCAGAGGTCATGGAGTTGCTCAGAAGTGACACCGAGGACGAAGAATTCAGTGAATTTAGTGATTTGGAGTGAGATCGTGACTTTGGTAAACTTATGTTCTGTTGTATATGCTATAGTTGTTATGTTTATATCAGGGGTGTCAGACTCATTTTGGTCCGGGGGCCGTATCCAACCTACTTTGATCCCAAAGGGGCCGGATCAGAAAACTCATGACATATAAACCCCAAAAACAGCAATAATTTCAAATATTTGTGCAGAGAAACGCAAATCTATTACAGAAATCTTTTTTAATTGATAAACTCTTTCTTTTACAAAATATTATAATATTATGAACAACCTGAAACCTTAAGACAACAGTACACAATGTTTTAACATGAACTTGTATGCAAATAGGAATAAGTCAATTTTTCTTGGAAAATCCTACACTCGGCATAAACTTTTCTCATTTTTGACATTTTTCTGACGAGGGTGTCACGGTCAACAGTCAAAACGATCGTCCTTTAAGAGCGTTTGGAAAGAGACAAGTCTTCATTTGTGCTGCTGTGGTGGGAGGGGCCACGTACAGAGACGCTGGAGACGCTGATATGATAAACACCACAGAAAATTTAAAATATTTTAACAGAAAATATAATTAAAATATTTTAGTAGAAAACTCAGCCGAGGGCCAGATTAAAGGTCTTGGAGGGCCGGATCTGGCCCCTGGGCCGTATGTTTGACACCCCTGGTTTATATGTGACGTTAACATATTAGACGTCTGTTGTTCTCTGTTCTGTTGTTTTTACTATAACTTGACATTTAAGATGAAATGTCGGTCTCTGATTTTATAAAATACATTTCCCCCAAAAAGTTTTTTTCTTCTTCATTACACATTTTTTGGCTGGTGCGACTTATACTCCAGAAAATACGGTACAAATATGAACCTTAAAGCAATTTTGCGATGCGTAAAGCATAAAATGAATCAAATATACTAGTATACTCTTCTAAAAGCAAAGTATTTTTCAGGAGAAGCATCATCGCGCGTCAAGTCCCAAATCATTGACCTTCAAGTCCAAGTCAAGTCCCAAGTCTTCGTCCATTATCCCAAGTCAAGTCTCGAGTATTAAAATCCTGTATTATTCATGCTGAGGAAGTCGTTTAATTAACTTATAATAATTGAGATCGATCAGCGTGAGAGAGGGGGAGAGTAAAACGCTGAAAGGGAAAAGCGCCGCCTTTGAAACTTTGACGAATATCCTTCATCGTCCGCTTCTGTTCCGAGTCTCCTGTCTCCGTTTCCCACCGAAGCAACTGGTGAGCACTAGAATGGAAATTAAATTAGCTCCTCCACTCTCGCTGCTGTCTTAACTCTTCCTCCTCCTCCTCTTCTTCCTCCTCTTCTTCGTCGTCGTCGTCTTCGTGTTTACGGGGTGTGCGCGTGCATATTTTGGAAGTTGAAATAATTGCTTCTCTTTTTGTTTAACTGCCTTTAAAATAAGCTTATTAATGTATCTGCTGTAGCATTTGTGTTTGCCTTGTCAAATTAATTGCTCTTCCTCTGTCTGTTTAATTGAACCATTAAAAAAAAAAAAAAAAAAAAACATAATTAGCATTTCGGTTTCCATCTTTCCTCTTCTCCTTCTCTCTATCGCTCTTCTCTTCTCTTCCTTCTTCAGCTTTGTGTCTCTGTCTCTCTATCGTGCCTCCATCTCCTCGTTATTCTCTCTTTCCTCGCTGTCCTCCCTCTCTCTTTCACTGTCTTCATCCTTTTCTTTCTCTCTCTCTCTCTCACACACGCTCACTCATCCCCCTCTTCTCCCTCTGTGTCTGTTTCTTTTCTTTCTTTCTCCCATGTCTCGTCTCCCTCTTCTATCTCTTCTCTGTTCTCTCCCACCCTCTCCCCTTCTCCATCTCTCTCTCTCTCTCCATCTCTCTCTCTCTTTTTCTCTGTCCCTCTTCTCTCACTCTCTTTTCTCCCCGTCCTTTCCTCATCCCCCTCTCCTCCCTCTGTGTCCATTTCTTCTCTTTCTTTCTCCCATCTCTCACCTCCCTCTTCTATCTCTCCTCTATTCTCTCC